ATTCTCAGATTGTGGCGGGGTGTTGCGAAACAAACTCGGGTACGTGCCCAACTCACGCCCCCCAAGCATGCAAAGATACCCCGGTGCAGTTCGCGACGAGTGCAGCCTATTTGAGCACTGTTGGGTTGAACAGTTGGGGCCTCTGACAGGTAGCACTCCCCATATTCGGTGCTTGGGGGGCACCCCCAAGTATGATAACTGGAAGAAGACAAGGCCTGAAGAAATTCCATGAAAGCTCTAAGCAAGAAAAAGTTATGCTGCATACGTGTCGAAGCACGGCCAGATCTACAAGCAAACAATTAATCTTGCCATTGACCGCCATTTATATACCTACGTTGCTCACACAAGCAGCCTTGTGAAAGTGGAAGCACAACAGCAAGCAACGGATGAAATTGTTAAAAATGGGGCTGTATCGCTACCTTCTGCCCGCATCGCCTCCTAAAGCACCCGCACCTTCCGGACAGCCGTCCAATGAGCGGCCACCACAGGCCCGACGGAACTCTCTGCAACAGGGTTTATAAAACCACCGTCAATGCCATTGTCCCAAAAACACCTGCAACAATGGCCCCTTCTCGCTGTCTTTCCAACATGCTGGTGTGTTTTGTTCGAGGGTGCCCCTTTTTTGCAGATTAGTTCAAAATGGAAACAACAAGAAACACACACACACGCACTGACGGAGTTTGTTGGCCCAATTTTGAGACATGCCCAGCGTCGTTGCAGCGGTTTCCGAAGCTCCTCGCGGGTCTTGCTGCGGTCCTTCGCGTCTCGGCGATTTAGGACATCGACTGCGCAGAGTGCCAAGACAAGCCAAGATCCCAGGTCAGAAATGGGCACACCACCTGGGGTCCATCATGGCCTACTGCATTTGGTGCACCTTTGTCTTTGTGAGGGCTTCAAATGAACAAATTGGATGCCATCTGAGCCGCTAAAAGGCTAAGCCACTTAACTGAACTGAGCGAAGCGGCCAACCTTGGCTGACGGTTCGGCACACGGCTGGTCCTTGCTGCTCCGGTCAAACCAATCCACGAGGCAGGTGCCATCCGCACCTAAGGCTGGCTGAACTCCCTCATGCGATCAATGGGCCTGGAAAAGGGAAGCAACCCATCCCTTTGGGTTTCCCCTTGGGTAAAAAACAATATTGGGCCGTTTACCACCCAGCCACAACCCAAGACCTTTGGAAGCATCTTTGATGTTCGTGGCTGGCTGAGTCCTCAGGTGTCGCCAGGGAGGCTCCCCATGAAACAGATTGCAAGGGGATGCCTCTAGGGGTACCTTCCCCATTCTTTTTCCAGGGATCCGTCTTTCTAGAAAACCTCCGGAACCCTGTGAAAATAGCTGGTTTTTGAAAAGAGCGATGGTTGAAAAGAACGGGGAATCAACCCCTAGAATGCTGGCAATGAGAATCCAAAATGGCTGTGTCAAAGGTGCACTACACAGATTGCTGAGCAACTGGTAGCCTTTCTTTGTTGGTTGCTTCCTATTGAAACTGGGCTGTCCAAACTGATCCCCTGCTCAAAGTGAATAACCTTAGGGGGATAAAAGCAAACTCTGACTAAACCATCTGAAAACCTAAACACCCAAAGAACCGGACCCTCCCCATGATTTTCGAAAAAGTGACGATTCAGCAAAGGGTGCACTGCCTCTTTAACGGCAGCCACCGCATGATGTTCGAAGAAGCGATGATTCAAGAAAGGGTGCGTTAATCTCTGTAAAGGAATCTACAAGCAACGGGGGGGTGGGGGGGGGGAGTGGGGCGGCAGCCCCCCCCATGATATTTGAAGAAGAGATGATTCAGCGAGTGCGTGAATCTCCCCGCAAAGTGAAGGCGCTTTATTTCATGGGGATTCCATTTCGAAGGCGGAAACGATCCGTATCTTCAACTAGAGTGTTTTGCAATTGTCCCACTTAAGGCAATCAAAAGGTAGCCGCCGTCTCAAAGGCTATTTGTCACCTTCAGGGTTCCATTCTTCGAGTCCAAGGTGGACTTAAATCCAGGGGTGGTTGAGTCTTCCCGACAAGAGGAACCCCTATAGGTTTACAGTAAGTCTTGGAGTGATAAACATGGGTGGTGTGTGTGTGTGTGTCAAAGTAGGGGGACCGCGCCTTGTAATGGTGGTTTTCATGTTGGCTTCCCAAGCCATCCCTCAGAAACACACCCAACTCACATCGCTCGAGTGTGCTGATTTTTAGCATCGCTCCCATGCGGATAACTTTGGCCGAGTTGGCTGACGTCCAGAACTGGGATCTCCCATGATTTTTCTCCAGCTGTGGGGAATGAATCCACTCCTGTGATACGACAGAAGGGGCTTCCCAAAGACTAGGTTCTTCAAATAAAGGGGGATTTTTTTCCTTGTATCATGATTGGAGAAACCCCTTGTGATCCCACAACCCCTGGAGTTTTGTTCCCTTGGGCTTTTTCGACCAAAAAAAAGGGGGGGGTTATGGTCACCACACCTTCGAGGGTCACTGGACCACTTCAAAGGCTTCTCCTTGCTGGTGCTGGGAATGCCCGACAGCGGCTGTTGGGAACGAACCGGAAGGGGATTCCCTGAAGGGAAGCCACAGGAGATGGCTGTAATTGTTTTTATCGGGGTCCTTCCATTTCTATCAGGTGCTGAGTGGGGAATGACCTTCCGGGTGTTGGGCATGACCCAAAAAAAATCCAATAGAAACAAAACAACAAGAGATGTCTCATTCCCTGCGCAAGTTCTGGAGTCGTCTTTCTCGCCGTGGCGCCGATCTCCGCGACGGTGGCGCGAAGCCAACGGCTGCCGCCCTCGTACAAAGCCTCAACCTCCTCGCCCACGCGTGGCCACTCCCTGGGCACGCTGCGAGGGTTTCTGCTTGCGGCTGAAGGGAATCCCCTACCCTCCCAAAAACAAACATAGAACAACAAATCTATATCATGTTGTCTAATATGGCTATATTACCCAAAAATGATCTATCTCCCCTTCAGAAGCACCAACTACAAATACTTTTGAAACTCCTTGACATAGAACCTGCGCAGGTTGCTGGAAGACCATTTTTCCTTTAAAGGTGTCCCTCGTGCAGGTTCTATGTTTTGTTTGGGAGGGTAAATCAGCTGAGGAAGGGTCTCTGTAACGAAGAAGCCACCTGACAAATAAATGGAAGTGTTACCTGAGAACTGGTCCCTTGGCGAAAGTTGTCCAAACCAGGAGCCTCCAACTCAAGAAATGCCGTAGATTGCCCTGTGGGTGTTGTTCAATTGCTTCTTGGAAAGAAGAGAGATGGAGCCACCGCAAAACTACCTTTTGTATGGACGATGCTGAGATTTAAGGAAAGGGATGTCCCAAATATCTAGGCCCCCCCAGTTTCTGAATAATCGACCGAGACCCATGGTTGATTACCTTCTGTGCATGACCATGAATAGGGCTGAACATACGTCATGCGAGGTTTCATTTGGGAAGGCCAAGCGGTACAACAGACAAGCCACCAACACATGTTCTTCAGGAGCCAGGCGCAAAACATGGCATCTTGATAAATCACACTCCTGCCCATGGGCGTTGAATTGGCAATAAAGAGACTAACAAAAGAAGTTGCCTCACACGTCGCTCAGAATGCCACACCAACGGGCATGACGTGGGAAAGGGTGAGGTGCCACCCCCTTCACCTGTCCTTTAACAGCCTGGTGACAATCCATTTTTGATACGGGTCACACCTATCCCAAGTCGAGCTGATGGGTTCCAGGCCCTCGAAGTTCCGGCGAGCAACGACAACACATGAGGTGCACAGTGCGCACCTTATCTAGTTCACCATGGCTACTCTCCTTGGGATGAACAGCATCCCGCAAAGCCGTGGCAGAAAGGTGCTACAGAGTTCAGAGGTGATCTTGGAAATTCGTTCTTTCCCTTTTGGCCTCGCTTTGGGGTGTCCCTGGAAAATCCCACACATAGGTGTCCTTTTAGAAAAATACATTGCCCTGGCAAATGGAATTAACCCATCCAAACCAGTGCCATCTACTTCTAACCAAACCAGCATCAAACAGAGTACCCCCCTCCCGCACCAAGGCGCGCGGACTCCTCGCAAACCTGGCTGTCTAGAAGCACCACCCACCGGCCTCAGGCGGGCTTCATGATGTTTGCTCTGACGCCGGTTGAATACAGTGGATGGACGAAATCCGTTGCACCCAAGAAACCCTGGCCTCATGATTACCCTGTAAATACCAACAAGGCTTTCCCGTGGTGTCAACGTGGTGCAAAATGGATTTCAACCATCAACAGTAGGTTCTAACACAAGGGTGTGTTGTTTTTCTTGAGGGTACCGGGCTGAGCATTTATTTCTTTTCCCCTTGAGGGTACCGTTGTTGGGCTTGTCACCCACTATGCGGATCCCTCTATTTTGATACATACACAAATGGGGCACACAATGGGCTCTAATTGAAGTGCTACTTGAAGTGCTACACACACATGACTGTTCTTAGGGCAAAGGCGGACGAATTTATTAGAATCCGTTGAACGGAGCCCCTGAGGATTGGAAAGCGTAGCAAATCGCAAAAAAAATGAATTCAGACCCCCGAAAAGGTTGCAAACCCCCTTGGGAAGCAATAAGATGCCGCCAGGTGCTGCGTGGAAAGAAGTGCAGGCAAACGAGGTGAAGCCACGAAGCTCTCTGGCAAACCAGCTTGTGACTGTGCCCAGGCCCCCCTTCGCAGAAACATATTGTTCACACTCCTCAGTAATGTTGGGATGCGACCAAACCATATATATATATATGTGTGTTTTCGAAACTGGGCTCTCTTCAAAAGAGGTGAGCCAACAATATTTCACAGGGCAAAGCCTAAACCGATCACATATGATCACATCCTCATGGGCCTTTGTTTCCTAAGTTGGTCGACACGCAACTGTCTGTTGCCAAACGGCAGCCCGCAGTTCTGCAGGCAATTGGGATTAGCTGCTTAGCTAAGAATGTCTCACGCAAGTCCGGCCTCCCCAGACAGCGATATAAAAAGAGCCCGGCTAGAGTCGCAAAACACCCTGAAATTATTGAGCCCCATGTGCTCTCAGAACCTGCATGGTTGCTTCCTGCTTATTCTGCGTGGCCGCTGCCAGCGGTGTCATGCCCTGGGCGTTCGGCTGGTTCACATTAGCGCCCACCTTCAGCAGGTATTCCAAGAGTTCCCTTCTGCCGTAGCCCGCCGCGTAGTGCAGGCCGCTGTTGCCAGAGCTGTCAACAGCGTAGGGGTTGGCCCTGCTGTCTAACAGCAGCTTAACCACTGCAATTCGGTTGGCGCCAATGGCATATCCCAGCGGAGTGATGCCTTTGAAGTCCTGCGCATCCAGCGGTTTCTTCCTTTCCAAGAAGCTCTTCACCGCTGCCAGGTCTCCCCGCTTCGCAGCCTCATGCAGGGTCATGGAGGTGTCATCGATCTTCTGGAGCACGGGGTCCAGCTCTGAAGGCAATCCCCCCATCTTCTGCGAGATCTTCAGCATCAGGTCCTCGTTCTGGTAATACTTCATGGCCGCCTCCATGCCGTTCTTCTTGATGTCCTCAAAAATGGGCGCCAGCTCGGGATCCGATTCTAAGAATTTCACCTTGTCCTGCACTGGGGTGTCTCCATTGGACAGCTTGGTATTGTAATGCTCTGCTATGGCCTGGGTCTGCAGCCATCCTCGCATGGCATCTGGGTTCTTAGCAAAGTTCTGCAGCGTCTTTGCTGTCTCCGGATTGCCCTCGACGTAGACCTTCAGCTCTTCCCAGGTCTGGTCATCCACATCTGGCAGGCGAGCAATCTCCATGGTGGTGCCATCGCTGATGTTCAGGGTCTCGGTCGTCATCTCCGCAGCCACGCACTAGTTACAGCTGGTAGGGATGGATAAAAAAGAGCCAGAGCTTCAGAAGACAGCCCCCACAGCATGGCGAATCATCTGGCAGCAAAGCAGCAACACTGTCACCACAAGTGTCCTTTTGGAAACATACCCCGGTAAATGGATGGCATAACGCCAACAAAAAAAACAGTGGACTCCAAATTTCGAAGCCAAAGCGATCAAAAGGACACCAAAGGTTGCAAGCAACTGGCAGGCTGGACGTCCAGCCCGCTCCTTACCCCCACAAAATGCTGGGGCTCCGTGCCATCAGCTTGCTCCTGCACAGTGCCCCACACCTTTTCGCCGCTGCCTGCGAAGCCGCGCAGCAACGAAGATCTGTTTGGACGCCGTGACGCCGGAGCCAATTGATCCGAAACACGAAAGACTTGCCGCGAGCGCTTCGCAGCAGCTTCGAAGCCGACTCTGGGACGCGCCTCGTTGGGAACAGAAGCGTCCCTCGCACATCCAAGGGCTGCTCCCAGGCCAAAACTGGAGATTGACCTTTGCTTCTTCCTGGTCATCTTGTCGAGACCAGCCCAAGTTTCATCAAAGGCCCTTGAAACTTTCTCACTCCGCCACACGAATGTTGTATCCAAGTTTGAGAGGGTGAACTCACTTCCTGGGTGAATTGGTGAGATAGAGTCCGAACTTTCGATCCACTTAGACTCCGGTCTAAACCCAGCAAGTTTGAAGTCCAAGGAAGTGAGGCTCCGGATCTCAAAGTTCCAAAAGGCTTCCAATCGCGCCTCGTGATGAGACCTCCACACGGCCGCCCTTGCCGCAGTTGGGCCGCCGCAAACCCCCGGAGAAGATCTTGAGGTGGGCTTTCTTGTCCAAGGTGCAACTCCTGGCCATGGGAAACCATTGCCGTTTCTTGGTATTTACAGGGGGGGCATCATTCCAGGGCTTTCTTAGATGGTGTACCATCTCTTGGTATTTACAGGGGAATCATCAGAAACCCGGGTTCTCAGGTGGGGTGTGCCGGATTTCGTGCATCCACGGTAGTTAAGCCCTTGCTTAATGGCCAAGCCTTTGCAGGGGGTGCATCTGGCTCATGATTTCGCCTTCTTTGAGGAGTGCCGATGATATGACATACTCAGCATATCCGTCGAGCGTGGCAGGGCTGCCCGCAAGAAACAAATCACACAAGCTAAACGAGCCCTCCTGTTCACGCCGAACCTTAGAAAGCGAGCCCTGTCCTCAAAGAACAATGGGGCCCGGGGGGCACGCCCCTCTCTGGGCACCAAATCTGGAACACACATAAGACACAAGAACCACGCACACCTCCCAGTCGTGAAGAACAGACCTCCCCACGGGAAGTGTAGCGAAATTGGGCTTAGAGGCTTACCTTTTGAGATAGCTTGGGATAGTCTGGCTCAATCTTGGCAATCAACTCAAGCTAAAGAACTTTGGGTTGGGAAAAACACGATTCACGTCAGCAATGGCTCACTTGCATCCCAAGTCCCAACAAAGAAGCGGCCTTCTACGAACTGTCTCGTTTCGCTATCATAAAAATGACACGGGACAAATGCATTGGAACCTCAGCCTTTCAGGAGGGCTAGGCAACTCCCCCGAAAGTTTGTTTTGTTTTGCTGTGGTTTGTTGATTGCTTGTTGCTTTTGTTCTTGTCGTGTTGTTCTTCCTTTTCTTTGGGGGGGAGGGGGTAGGAACACCCTCCAACCCTTTTAGGCGTGCCATGGGCGCGCTTTGTCCGCCTCTCAGCCCCCCCAAGAAACAAATATTGTTAAACCAAAAAACAAAAAAACAAAACGATCAGGGAAAAATAACGCCTGGAGTGGAAGAAGACCTCGAGGGCATCCGTCTTCAGCTGCACCACTTTGCGCCATGAGAAGCGCTTGGCGCTGTAGGGGTGCTCCGTCTCCAGCAGGACGCCGTGACCTTTCCGACCCAAAACAAACGGCCACAAGAGGGGCACAAAACCTGTCTGTCCAAACTGATCCCCCGCTGAAAGTGACTGACTCTTAGTGGTTTAAATTGAAACTACCACTAAACACTAAAAGGCTAAAACGCTGAGGAACCGGATGGCTGGGAGCCACCAAGAAAAGGGGTGGGCGTCAGCCACAAAATTAGGGGGGTCACTGGATTCTCCCCTTCAAATGTTGCACTTTATTGGTGGTGTCCACTGAACCTGCCACTTTTGAAGGTTCCACAGAGGGACATGGAGGTCCCTTAAAACACCCACCCATTTGATGCTCACCCCTCAAAGGTCGACACTCTCTTTGCCATCAAAAATCGGATTTCAGGACACATCCTACCGTCCGAGAGGCTGAAGCCGGCTGCCTCCTGCATGGAGCTCGCAAGCTTCGCGACGCAACCCGTCCAAAAGTCCTGCGAACGCCCGACCTTCCCCTGTTGGGCGTTGACCACGAGCTCACGCTTAAGGCAAGAGCAGCTTGAAGACTTGCTCCAGCAATTTGCGATATGCAGCAAAATGTGTGGTTTGGCTACGTGTGCAGGCAGCCTCAAGACTAACCGACTTCACCAGCCGTTGGTCCTTAGAATGGTCAAACTCACGAGTGCGTGGATTCCATCTTCTCTGTACAATGGTGACCCGAGACTTGCGACAGGGCGGGTGAATAGCAGTATGCAAAAACTAAGCAACAAAAACAACAACTCACCCACACAACTTGCATCACGTCCAAACAATGTGATTTGGACAAGGTCTTTCTGCGACAACAGGGTTGACCACAAGCTAACGTTCCAGCCAGCGGGAAAGTGCCCTCAACTCCACTCTCTCCTCTGCGGTGCCCATGCTCTTGCCCATCTTGGCCCACTCCTGCCCGAGCGATCCCGGTGCTCCACCGGCTCTCTTGGCCACGGGAATTACGGCCAGCAATGTCAAGATGCGAAATCAACTTTTCGTGCTTGCCCAAGAAAGCTGCCGTTAGAAGGGCACATGTGATGCCCGAATTTCGTGATCTTAAATCCGAGCGCGTGTCAAAACCGGAACACTGAATTCCCAAAGCTGAGAGAACGTTCGCAGGGATCAGGCACAAGGCATGATGTATCCCCTGTGCACGAAGCCCCGGACTTCACGTAACCAAAAGCAAACGCTGGTAAAAGCAGGCAGAAGTCAGGCAGGGAGGGAAAGACAAAAGCCAAGCCAATTGAAAACACATACTGTGGATGGACGAAATCCTGCACCACTTTGAAACCATGGGAAACCATTTACAAGGGAATCATCATTCCTGGGTTTCTTGGGTGGTGCAGGATTTCGTCCATCCACAGTATTGCACATCTTCAGGAGAAGGCCAGTACGCTTAGATACTAAGATGAATCCAGACCAAACTTCACAGGGGCTCAACACAAGTCCTCACCTGAGTTCAATATGAGAGACCCGAACCCAAATCTAGCAAGCCGATGAGGGCGTGCCTCCGAATCTCCAGTCTTTCGGAGTCTGCTCGCTTGCCCAGGGCGAGGAAAACACGTGCCACGAACATCATTTCTAAGTGCCATTTCAAAACGGAATTGTCGCAACACCAGGGGTCCCGAAAATGAGGCAACTGCCAAGCACAGTGTCAGAGTTGATGGTGGCCAGCCCAAGGCCCCAAGGTAAACTTCTCAAACCACACGGTTGGTTACCTTGCACGTGTTTGCTGGCTTTCCTTTGGGTGCTACCAGAAGAGGGAATGAATCTTGCTTTGAAAAGTTGCCAGGCGCGCCAGGCGCCAGGTGCCGGCCACAAATTCCGCGCAGCGTCAGAAACTGAAGGCGACCAGACCGCGCCTCCTGCAGAGAAGCGCCCTTGAAGCGACGGTACACCACATCGTTGCCAGCGGAGTCCTGAAGGATCATCCACCAGGGAAGGGGACTGGAATGAAGACATGGAAGCAGGCTGTCAACGCCCTCGTCCAGCAGAAACTTGTGATTTAGCGGGCTCAAAGGTTGAACCGATAGAAAAGCCATTTGTTTCCAAAGGTGCAAGGTGCTAAGGTCACACCAATCACCAGCCATGTGAAGGCCTTTCTGAGCAACATACCACGCCCACCAAACAAATGGTTTGGACGTGAGTTACGGCCACACCCCCTCTTCTCCCCCTTTACCCCCCCCCATCACCCACCACCCACCACCCCCGCGCTCGAACGCAATTGTCCGAGCCCCCGCCCACTTCCCCCCCCCCACCCCCACCCCAACACTCCCCTCCCCCCCCTTACCCCCCCCCCCCAACACCACCCAAAGCTCCACCCCTCGCTCCGGTCCTTGCCCCGCAGCTTCGCCAGCAGCTCCGCCAGCTGATCCTCCGGGATGGGCCGCGCCTCTGAGCTCAGCTCCTCCAGCCTAAGCGAAGCTCGGAAGCTCGGAAGCTCAGGCGCCCGGAGTCCGAGTCCGTAAGTACAGCTTCACACACACACACAGAAGCATATATACATATATATATATATAATATGTATATGTATACATTGTTTGTATGTATATGTGTAGATAGATGTATATCTATGAATCTCTTATACATGTATATTCAGAGGTTTCTGTGTGTATATATAGATTTATACACTTACATACCCACATACATCGGCCAGTATAAGTACAATATGATCACATGGATCGCTAACGTTGCGCTCTTGCTTTTATGGCACACATGTTGCGAACGAAAAAGGACAGGTACTCTGCATAATTTTCCGTACCTATCATTTTTCCGCAAGGCATTTGCTGTGCAAAAGGGTCACGGGCGCGGCAAAGGTTCTATCATATCCCCGTCGCAGCTCCTTGGACTTGGAGGTTTGCCTTCGGATCATCTGCGAGGGACAATGCAAAGTTTGGACCAGGGGCCCAGGTTATGGGGAAAAGCGCGCCAAACCAGAGAAACGCAATGGATAAATCTCTGGGCTGAACGGCTTGGTTCGACCCATTCAAAAGACGTTTCGCGCTTGAACCTGGCAGGGCCCTGGTCCAGTAACCTTGGCTGTTTCCAGGCTTGGCCCAAAGCACAGCAAGCTTGCAAGGGATGCGTGAACTGACGTGAACAAGTACAGCATTCTTAGCTCGGGTTAAAACTGAAACTTCGCTGGGAAGATGTTCTGAAGGACGCATACCACACTGAGCCTACTGGCACCTCCTGATCCTTGAGTTTGAGAAGGCGGCCTTTGCGTTCAATGACTTCAAAGCCATAACTAGGCCTTGTTAGCTATACATCTATCGACCTACCAACCTACATACCTACCTACCTCTTCAATCTATTCAATCTATCTATCCCATCTATCCAGCCTTTCCAACCTATCACATTTAACCCATCTATCTGATCTATCCAATCTACCCATCCAATCTATCCCATCTATCAATCCATCCATCTCCCTCTCCATCCACAATTCCCCTATCTAATGGGAATCTAATGATATTCCATCCTTGGATCTTTTTTCTTCTCACCTTTCCAAAATCCTGGCCACCCCCGCTGGGCGCCCTGGCGTCTTGGCGTGGCAGGGGGCGCACAGATCGTAGTCGCAGCCGCTGTCGGGGCAGCGGAAGGCGGTGCCGGACACTCGGCAAAGATCGCCTGAGCCGAATGGGCTCAAGTGATGCTCACTCAGAATGCCCCTCGGAACCAAGGGGGCCCTGCCAAACTGGAGTGGCCTTTGGATCAAACCAAGGGTCCACAAACAAAGCAGAAAGCACCTTGAGCTTTTGATTTTTTCCGTTTGGCTTCTCTTGTCCAAAAAGCCTCCTCCTGACCCAAAGCCTCGGCTCAAATCCAAGGTGCAGCTGTGCCCGGTGCGCACATCTGGCCGCAGCTGATGGCCCTTGGAACAGCTGGGCGCCGGCGACACCGACAAGGCCGCCTCGGCGCTGGGGCTGTGGCTTCGCCGTAGCGGGCCACCCCGGTGGTTTGGTGATGAAGGAGGGGTAGACTTACCCCCTACCAGAACCAGGGGTTCAAATCCCCAACTACGGGTTGCCCGAATTTCTATACCATACGTGGGTGTGGTTTTCTTGAGGGGCCCCTCCAAATGGTGGTTTCCCTTGTGGCTTCCCTTTAACACCACAAAAAGGAACCCTGAAAACGACACTGACTTGGAACTTTCTGCAAGGGTGAGAAACTGTCTGGGAAATGGGGGATGGGTTTACTGTGGATTTGCCCCGGATGTGTCTTTTTCCAACACACCAAAAGAGATTCACGTTACGTCGTCCAAGACGGCGACAATGGAAGCCGTCAAAAAAGAAAACACACACAGACACACGTAAACATGTGTATATATATATATATATTATAGTATAAGTATATATATATATATGAATGTTATATATATGTATATATATATGTACATGTATGTCTGCCATGTGTACTTATGTATGCATATCCATATGGATATACATTTATCCCGTGCAATCCATACATATATATATATATGTATATAAGCCCTCTATACTCCTGGTTGCTGCAACGACCCCCTGCAAAAAGTTCTCAACTTTTTGGGGGTTCAGTGGGAAACCAACCTTCTTTCCCCAAAACAGCTCAAGTCTAAAGATCCAACGGAGAATCGCAGTCCTTGACCCTCTGGAGCCATCGGGGTGAGGCCGGCGGGCCTTTTGGAAGGCGTCGGGGGGCACCACGCCCCAGGACTCGTCGGGCGCCTCCCAGCCGGCCCGCGGGGGCTCCTGGACTCCAGGCACCGCCTGAGTCACTGAGAGAGGCAGAGTTGGTCTCTGAGCTGGCCCGGATTTTTGTTAAGAGAGCAGCCACCAAGAGTTGAGCACGGCCAGGGGAGGTCTTGGGGGGTTGGTCTCTGAGTTTGGCCCAGCTGATATGTTTGTTTCATAGGAAAGCAGCCATTAAGCATTTAAGCATGGCCAGGGGAGGTCACCACAGGCAACAGAAACCATTTGTGCCATGATTTTTTCATAGGGAACCACCTCACAAGTGATTGGTGGACATGAATCCTCACCTAAATGATTTTTGTTCCTGGTGGATTTGGAGGGAAACGAAGCCTAGCCTGTCCTCAGCACAGGTCCCTTTTTGGGGGAGGGAGAAACCAGGTACCCTCCAAGTGCCTTGTCAGGGGAAGGGAGGGTACTTTTCTTTGTGGGGGGGGGGGGGGTTGGAGGGAAATCAAAAGGAGAACAAATGAACACGGTAATCACCTTTTGGGATCAGCCATGATTAATCGGAATGCAAACAGGGGAAACTAAAAGGTCCAAAAGGTCGATTCGTGAACATAGAACCCGACTGCGGAATTCTGGGAGGCTAGTTTCCCCTACACGGACCTTTCTGCTGGGTTGCATGTTTGTGGACGGGAGGTCGAGCAGGAAATCAACAGCCCCCCCTTTTCACATAAATGTCTATATATATATACACAACTGTTGGTGTGCGTGGAACCTTGGCTAACATCTTACTAAGGTGTTTAAGTGGGTTGAACATCCAAGTGAATGGAGAACGGGGGGGACAAACCCGCAAAGTAAACACCGCCCGTGAAATGACCAGCCAGTCAGGGGCAGCTGAGTAGCAACTCGCATCACCGCAACTACTGAATAGTTCCCCTCTTTTGTCCTGCGCTCTCTCAACGGCCGACAGCAGCGCAATTCACTCAACCACTCAGCAGTGCCGCACTGAGCACCTATTTGGTTGCCCATGTGGCTGTGGGTCAAAACCAATGGTACCATTTTGGGGTAGGTGCACCACCATTTTAGTCTATTTTCGTGGGGATGGGGATGTTCACTGGGGGTACGGGATTTTGACTCATGGCCATGTTAGTTTTACCGCTGGATTTTGACACGCATCCTCGCCCCGCCCACGTCACCAGCCTGGGCAGTGAACTGCCACTCCTCCGACTCGGACAGGCACCACCTCTCCAGGCCTGGCGTGTCGCTTCCAAAAACGGAAAAGCCATCGGGTTGTGGCATGGCCACCATTCTGCGTGTATCTGGGACTGACGCAAACCAACACACAAACCGAGGAACAACACCAATAACGTCCCCTTGCACACATAGCTCTCATCTACTACATTATGGATGCAACCCGCCCAAAAACCATTTGGTGGATATCCTGTGCATTCCCTGGCGGAAGCGCACAGGAGCGCGGGGCATGGCAACAAGGCTTCGGGAGCCACACTTCTTCCTCAGGTTGAGCTTTTTGAATGCCAGGCATGCCGCACCAACCATACCATACAATCTACTGTCGCTAGCCGATCCAGCAAATTCAATCATTAGATCCTCTGATCCTTGCCCGCCCGGCACACAACAACGCTTGCGCACCTCCCAACAAGCTCGCACAGCTCCCCGGCCTTGGTCGAACCAAATGCGCTGGCCGTTTTCTCCTATGTAGAGCGGCATGCCGTTCAGCGCCCCGGAGCGCTCGTACTTGCCGGCCAGCTTTGTGGGCCCAGTGACGCGCACACCATACGACCTGCGATCGACCGGTCAGATTGGGTATGTGTCAAGCACGAGGGCCATGGGACCACGTCAGGGTTTTCCTTTTGGTTTGCCTTGAAACCAACCAAGAGTACCTTCCAAAAAGTACATTTGCATGGTCCTTTCGCAAGGCGAAGGAGAGGGGAGCCGATGCTGAGTCTACGCTGGCTGAATGTTTCTCGAGCTATCAGGGTGATGGGAAGCAAGCCTCACTCTGCCGCGAGCTTCTACAAGCCAAGCGAATTCCAACCTAAGCCAAGGGCGCCAAACCACCGGATCGTTTGCTTGCCTCTGGGTCTTGGGCACGTCGCGGTACTTGTTGTGCGCCACCAAACGCTGAACGTGCCGTTTCAAGTTCACCTCTCCGTGGATTTGCACCTCCTGGCACGTAAGAAGGATGGGACCGGGTCGTGGACAGCCAAGTTTTTGGGGTCACCCGAACTGAGCTCTAGCCAATGGGCCCTTGGATGCTATACACATTGTCATGGTTGTCCTTTGGTGCAAGCCGAAACCCTTTATGATCCCTTGACTAATGAACTCTGTTTGGTATGGTTGCATTACGCGTTCACATCATGATGACGCCCAGCCATTTGACCGATCAAAAAAAAAGATGCATTGGGCAAGAAAGCCAATGTTCATCCCAAACAGGACATTTCCATACAATTGTCACAGGCAGACCCAGGTGGCCAATGCTGAAGGTGTCGGCAAGCCATGTGCTCACCACAATGCAATGCCACTGTCACACAAAATGCTTACATCAGAGAGGGTAGGCATGCAAGTGGGCAAAGGCTTCAAGGGGATCGGCTCACATGCGCCTGGGCGCAGAGCCTTTGGACCCCATTCCCCTCGCTTCAAACCGCCCGATGTTCACCTTCGCGCATGCAGAACTGTTCCTGGTGCCACTTTGTGGCATGCCTGAGCCATCGTGGCCTGTCTTTACAGATTCATGGAGCTCAAGCCAAAAGTTCTATGCTATCTCATGAGGTGAAGCTTGCTAAGGGATGCAAGCCATTGTTCGGTTCTGCGGCAGGAAACGCACCCTTCGACCCATCCCCACTGCCAAGCAACTAGACAAAAATAAGCACAACCCCCCTTAAATGGCCAGCTTCTCGGCAAGTCTGAAGCAGAAATAACGCATCCCCCTGCCCCAAGCTTTCCGCGGAGCCGAAAAGCGCTCGCGGAAAGCGCTCGCTCACTCGTCTCAATCGCGCTTCTCCGCGGGCAAACGCCACGCCAGGGCGGGCAGCACAACGCCCGAGACCGTCAGCAGTGCCGCACCGCCGTAGGGCCTCAGACTCATGCGGTTGCTGGCGAATAAGGGCTGAGTGGGGTCCAAACCATCCATTGAAATCCATGAAATAGGAATGATGAGGCCATGTCAAGGCGGGCAGCTCGGTGGCAACTTGAAATTCTTGGGTGGCGGTGTGACGACGCAAAGCTACGAAGGGAAAACCACCTGCCGCCAAGCACCATGATGTGATTGCTTCGACGACACTAGAGGCAACAGTTAAGTTTAGGAAGACGAGAGAAAAGCACATCATACAGCCCCTGCTTGGTTCCGGCTTTTCTCTCTTGGAAACCCTCAACCGCTCTTGGGGCGCTGAGCCTCTGACGAGCCGGAACCCAAGCATTTTTCTTTCAAGGACCCCCCCCCCCCAAACCCCGCCCCCCACCACAAATCGCCGAAACTTCAAGGAACCCTCCCCTCCCAACCCAACCTTTGGAGTTCGCGCCGCACCTGCGATTTCGCCCGAGTGGCGAAACAGAAGTTGTGACTGCCAGCGTGGACAGCGGCACCACGAAGCCCAGGACCCCGTCGAAGAAGGCGAAGGCCTTCTTGAGATGTGGGTGATTGTGGGTGGCTCGTCTTTTTGTGGAGGCTCGGCAAGCCATTCTGTTTTTTGTTTTTTGGGGGGAGTCATCCCCCCAAAAACACACACCCATGTCTTGTTGGTCGAAACGGGCCTCAAGTCGAGAAAGTCCTCGAAATGGGCAGGACACCGAACTCAAAGGCAATGGCAGACATGGCGAAACTTGCTTCAAGTGCCCAGTCCATTATATTGCCAAAATCGGAGTACCCCCTGCCTGCTCAGGCTTGGGATGATTCCGTGTTTGTGGGTAAATGTGGGTAAGTAAAGGAGGTGGGCAAGCCAAAATGATGGAGTGCCATCCACTTTCATCGAACTGTACTCCCCCAGACTGAGATGGAACCCAAGAAACCAACAACTTTAGAAGCATCTTCAATGGGGTGAGCCCCATTTGGCGTGAATTTAAACCTGGACTAAGCCGGACCTATGGCGGATCAACTTGCGGCAACTGGACATTGATCTTGTCAGGGAGGGCAATGGATGTTGCTACAACCACCTCACCATCGTCTGGACCCCGCATTTTAGAAGCGCTCCTGCGACCCAGCTCGCAGTTGCTGCAGCTCACGGGTCAAATAATTTTGTTACATTGCGAACAGTAGCTGCATCCCTGGCGGGCGCGGAACCATAAAAATACAACCTGCCAGCAAACACACACACACACACCAACAAAAACAAAAACATCATGGCCCCCTTGCCCCTTTTTGGACACAGCGAGCAATTTGCTTGCAGCGAAGAACACCACCTGCCCCCCCGACCCCCCCCCACCGGAACCGAGGTGCCTGCTGGCAAACCTGGAGCTGGCCATCAGGCAGTCCACAGATTTTCCTTAGAAAGACGAGGGCCCCGGAATGGGCTGTGGGGAGGAGAAAAGCCCCCAGAAACAGCGTCTGCACAGAGCTGCCTAAGCGAAATGCTGAAAGAAGTTAGCAAATCTGTCTCAAGAATCCCTCTCTCCTGAAGTTTTTTTTTTTTCTATGCTGCCTCAGTGGCATGTCAACATATCTGGCCAAAGTTGTGCTCTTGTGCGAGTCGACGCTAACCATCCCAACCTTGAGTCAGGCGGCCAAAACATGGGGGCGGTCAGCACCTTCAGCAAGGCGCTGCAGAAGGTGGCCAAAAGCAGCACCTGCAGAAGCTCTGCGCTGACAATGGCAGCGATGACTCCCCCTCAAATAAAGCCATAGCACGAACTGAGGGTGCACGGATGGACAGGTTGATGAAAACAAATTGACACACGCATCGGAAACCAAACAGAGACGCAAAGACAAACAGTGACACAAGCCGTATTCACTCGCTGTGGCCGCATGGTTGTGAGCGGGCCAAAGCTCGGGTCCAAAAACAAGCTGACAAGACGCTCCATTTGGCGTAAGGCACCTTCCAAAGACCCCGAGGACAAGCACAGAATCGAAGCGTAACCTTACCAACAAAAGCTCGAATTCCCTTGCCAAGCTTGAACGCTTCCATGGGTCATCCCCTGTCCGGCTTCTCGGCCATGCCCAAGTCTGACCGGCCTTGTAGCTGCTGGTCATGAGTTCTATCAGGAAAAGAATGGGGCACAGTGCCATCAGCACAGCCTAGGGCGGAACAAAAATGAACAACTACTGCGACCTCTCTTGGTGAGGCATATTCATCCAGAACATGGGGCGGAATGCTAGAATTTCTGTGGCTTTGACCTGCTTTCATCATATAAATTTATTTGCACATACATAGCTTGAACCCTTGGTCTCTCTCGAACGTGCGGCAAGCACGGCCCTTGAGCCTATCCACACCACAAAGAGGACTGCCGAAAAGACGCTTCCAGTTGCATGGATATTCGGATATACAATGTTGAGACAGGGAACCCAAATGGGTTGGTTCCTTCGTGCTTCCCGGTAGACCTTTTGCGCGGATTTCATGCTGGTTCTTGCCAACAGCAGCTAACTGTCAAGGCGCATCCAAACCTGGAATTCCGCCTGCAAAAAAGCGATCACAAAACGCATTGGACAACACCCTGGCTTACAATGGACTCAAGTCTGCCAAAAGACTTGACTCAAACCATTGGAACCCCAACTCGTAGTGGATGTCGGACATGTCGACAACCGCCGTCTTCCATGTTTCTGCAGTGACTCTTAGTTGTAGTCGAGGCAATGCGTCTGCATGGGGGCCTTGCGTGCTCACATGGACCATTTGTACACGTACATGCGTGGAAATCTACCAGCTACATCATGTAGCCCGCGGCATGACTAGATGGGACAATGATATCATGCACGCTGGACGAGGTTGTGCATCGACGGAGCTTCGGTTGCCAGGACCGAAGGCTGCTTGCTGCTCTGATGGTGCGGTATGTCGTCAGTGAATTGACCTTCGACATAAGCTCACAACAAATGGATTCACTAAATGCACATGTTTCAGAAAAGCACGAGCTGAGGGGTAACTCGCTACACACAGCAACAATAGAAATATCTTTGGTGGTTGTCCTTTTCTTCCCATTCCAACTTCAAATAGCTTGTTCTTCATGCCCTCATGTTGCCATGACTCGGCCCCGGAAGGGACGAAATCCCTTCTGCCCACGTGTGACGGGCCGAGAGGCAATGAAGCCGGGGTTCGCGGGCTGCTGCAGCATGACCAGGGACATGGACTGCCCCACCACGCCTTGGAACTGGACTTCACTTGCAGGCTGACCCTGCCCGCCTTTCAAAGGAGAATCGCAGGGAGGTTGTTTCAAGAGCTGTTGAACACATGTGGCTATGGGTCAAAACCCCGTACCCCCAGTGAACATCCCAATCCCCACTAAAATCCCGACCAAAATAGGTGCTGCACCCACCCCAAAATGGGATTTTATTGGTGTTGACAACCACGGCCATGTTTGACCAAGGGATTGACCCACCAACTTGCGGCATGGACTTATGTCCGTTTGCGACTTTGGGCTGTACGCCAAATAAAACAGATGAAAAGAGGAAGTGCAGCAGAGATTGTTTAACTAGGTCCTCTCCTTCCATGCCTCACTTCCTGGATGGGCCACAAACAGTCTGATTCTTTTGTTTGTCACCAAAGAGATCTTCCCAAACAGTATGGTCCATGAACTCGGGGAGTGCCATGCCGTCAAAAGCTATGACATGCTGCCGAATGCTGCCGGAAATCAATGTTGATCCCCCTACATGCTTCATTCGCGAGCGTTCGGAAAATACACGAATCTTAGCCTTACATGATAAAGCATTTGTTGATCGAACACGTCTTTGCCGAAAAAATGTTCTCCTCAAAAGGCGGACAGTTTACATGCTTTGGAACTTCCAGGTATGCCATGTATCCTCCAACCTTCACATGCCATCTGTGGATGTATGTGCCTTTTGCAACATTGAAGGACCCTTCAAACGGCCTGTTGTTCGAGGACAATCTCAGTTGCAGTGGAGAAAGGCAGGGAATACAATGAGGCGATCCGCTTGCCGCTGACAACAGCGTTTGCTAAATCGGTGCCTTTGAGCGTTCTTCGTCAGGAGCGCGGCTACATTGGATGAACGCGCGTCAAACCCTTACCTTGCTTGAAGTATGCGTGAAGTTTGCCAGCACAACGGCATGATGCCAGATCATTTGGGGATACAGCGGTGTTTTGCCGTTCACATCTGATTCTGCTCATCTACATGGTCGTCCAGCGTCGTTGTTTTTAGAGTACAATGTGTTTTTGCCACTGCACGGCGAAAATAAACGCAAGTGCAAACAAAAACAACATAGGATTCTCAGGCATATAGCCACTCCACGCATCGCGGAATCGAAGGACGTGTTCCTCGCAAAAAATAATAATCTGGGACTTGACCAGCAGTTTAGCTCGTGTGAAGCAAAGTGGGCTCGAGAAATTGACAACTCCATCTCATCGTCCGGTTGCGCGCCTCCAAACACGCCTGCAACATTCATCTGCGCCCAAGACCAGTAGTCCTGCCGGGCTCCGAAGGCCGGGGAAGCAAAGGACCCCTGAACAAGTTGAAACGGATACGGGAAAAATGAACTAAGCAAGGAAAACCACCCTCCCTTGGGCACATGTTGGCTGGCCAGCCTTTGTGAACTGACGTGAAGCTGAGAGTTTTCCGTTTGCTCTTCCTGCCTACCTCCTGACATGCTTCCTTCCCATGTTGCCTCCCTCATTCCTTCTACTGCTTTGGCCTGCCTGACGCAACCAATGCTGCACGGCACGGGCACCCGGCACAACTAGTTCATCAGAGTCTGGCATTCACAGGCTTGACGCGAGGAAATCTCAAAAAAAAAACAGAGTTGCAATCGGTCATGGCACACAAGCAAGGTGTTGCCACATGTTGCCAAGCTTCTTCGCAATATCCCGCTTAACTGGATTGCGCCAGTGTCTTGGCTATCAATTTGGCCACTGGGCAGAAAATGGCTGGGCAACATGCCGAAACGAGCAGCCCACATATATCTACTAACAGGCTTGAATGGAAACTCATATCCCTCCTTAAAAGAACAGTTTTGGTGGCTTAAATGGAAACCACCACCAAACCCTGAAAACCGGAAAAAAAAAGGAAAAAAAAACCTTAAAAAAAAAAAACACAAAAAACAAAAAACTAAGGGGATGGCTAAAAAGCCACCAGGCCAAGAAAAACCCAGGCATGCACTGCCCCCCCACCGGCCCCTCTCTGCCCCTCTGGTCCGGCATGAATCGGATGATGAGGGAGGGCCCCAGCAAGGTCTCGCGGCACAGATTGCGCACTCCCTGCGATCCGTCTGCGAGATCGGAGATCTTTGCGTTCAAGGAAGGAGCGCCCCAAACTGATGAAACGGGTGCCACCAGGCCCATCCTCACCTCAGGTGTCCTACAGCTTGTGCCTACTGCCTACTGCTTGCTTCTGGCTGCGTGACTTGCGCCCTTCAGGAGCCAAAAAAAAACAGCCAGCCCAGCCCGGGGCTTTCCCGAAAATCCCTCCCAAAGCCCAGGAAGCGCACGCCTTTAAAAGGACTTCGGGCCTGAAGAGCGGCGCAGAGGACCACCGGCAGCATGGGCCGCAGCTGGGCAACGGACCAACTTGGAACCGGCTGCCTGGTGCTGGCCTCCAGCGGCAGCGTGGGAGGGGAAGTCTTGACGCGGGTCGCGCAACAAACTGCCTCTTGGTGAGGCAGAGTCAACACATCTTGGTGTCGTTGGCGTCATTCATTTTGCCACCTCACTATCATTCACACGGAAGATCCTGAAATTAGTCTTCCAGAACCTTCATGGTGAGTCCCAACCCCCTTTCTTGAAGTCTGGGGTTCTTATGGTTTGCCCAGATTTATGGCAGGCTTTCTGAAGGAATGACACCCAGGTCCCACCAAGCCCTTTAGGGCCAGCCCTTGCCTCCAAGGGCTGGCCCTTTTCTCCTGACCGGTGGCACTGGATAGTGACCTGGTCGTGTGGTATGCCCTCCGGTGGCATCTGCGTGCGCACTTGGAAGTTCCTGCTGCGTGCAAAAGTGCGATCAGGAAGTACTGGCCTCATTTTTTTACCATGAACAAAGTCACCCAAGTGGTGGGTTGAAGGGAAACACCCCCCCATTTTGTGACTTTGATAACCAGAAGCCATCAAAATAATGACCCCAAAAAAGGCAAGAGCCAAACCCTGGCGGCACGCAGGCCGCGGGCTCCCCAGCGACTCAAATGCTCGAAGCTTAGGACCCCCGACCACGTCGGGCAGCTGGAAAAGTAGCGGCAGCGTGAGGCCCATGACGCAAAAACTGCCAGCCTGCGCTGGGCAGCAAAGGCCTGGAAAGTATATGCCCACATATGAACCTTTGGGATGAACCCCTAGTTGATTGTCCTTTAAGCGGTAATTGTGGCTTAGAATATGGGAAACGGCCACGCAAGGTGCAAAGTGGCTGTGGGTTCATATGGACCTATACAAATCAGCCTTTGACCTTGTCTTGGTTTAGGTTGCTGCTATGCCGGCCCTCTGCAAGGCCTGGGCAAGCAAAACTAAAAACAGCAGATGCCAACCAATGCTGACTGTTCATCAACCAATTCGTGGCTTACCCTGCAAAACACAGCACTCGACTCAATGCAAGCCGTGTGACAGAGCCAACCGGTTGATGCATGCATTCAAAAGCCAAACATGCCAGAACTATTCCAAGACGGCGCTTGTGTGCTCTGTCTGTTTCTAAAGGAGCCGCACGCCATCAAACGCCATGATGTGCTGCTTCCCGGATTCAGACGATGGATCCGCATCCCAACGCCAACATGGGTGTGCTGTTTACCTTCTTCTACCCTTTACTGGACATCATTTCCATGCAGAATATCGCCCACCGACCATTGAAAGGGGTTCCCTGTTGTCCACCGACTATCGTCATAAAAAAGAGGTTCCCATTACTTGGTTGACGTTGAAAGGGGAGCAAAAATTAAATGTTAGCAGTTCAGTGGGGATTTCCCACTAAACCACAATAAGCAAAAATGCAAAATGTTTCCCAACAACAACCATGACTAAGACAGCAGAGCCATTCGCGTTCCGCCACCTTAGAAGGCATTCTGAGTGATGCCTGGGATTGCACCAGGCTCGAGAAGAAGAGTGGGCTCAGCATGAAGCCCGCCAGCATCGTCAGAACCGGCCAGGGCATCATTTCTGCCTGCCACTTCTCCTCCGCGCGAAATTTTGAGGTGCCAGTGTCCCATCCTGCCAGTCTCCAATGAGTCTTGGCATTCTAGAAGGCTGTCGTGCCAACCTCACCTACAAAAACCAGGTAGGAAAACCACCTACTAAAACTAAACTAGCCAATGGGGGTTTCAGGCGCTCAAACTTTATGATGCAGCCAAGTGCCGAGCTTCTATCTGGCTTACACTTCCTGGCCCTTGTCCAATGCATATTACTTAAAATATGGGGGTTGATCAAAAGGTCCTACGAGCACTCCGAGAATATGGTTGCGATCAAGCCATTCACACTCTACTGTTCCGGGGCGACCGGTTGCACCGTGGCTGGGTCCATAGAAGATGCTGCAGATTTCCAGCACGGTGCAAAATAGACAAGTACTGCAAAATACAGTGTCAAAGAGGAACCATGCCCCTGATTGCAATATTTGGGGACTGAAACGCCCAAAGTCGGTGCTCGATTTAAGAACATATATTCCACACGAATAAGTGGTTAGCTTAATTTGGGATCCCTGTGAAGTGACCCACTCAATGCCCGCGCGCCTGCGGAAACTGGCGCAAAAGCAAATCGGCACGGCAACGGTTTCATAGAAAGACGATCTTTTCTCGACAGCGCTTTGACCGGCTCCACCCTCCTTCTCGGCATCAGAAGCTCCAAAATGTCTGCACAGGTCCTGTGCCGTCCAGGCGTCCAGGCTGGCAAAGCTTTAGTCATACCAACAAGTTTCAAGCAGTCCACCCGAGCGTAAATCAACACCTGTATATATTTGTTTATGTATAACGCGAACCTGCAAAGCATATAAACATAAACAAGGACGATATCGAGTCACGAGTTGAGTGCCAGGCAGTCTTGAACATGATCTGGGAAAGCTTTTGCGCGTGGGTGAGAAGGTGCGAACGAGTACAGTTTTTCTGAAGTAAGCGGCCCCCGTGTGTGAGAAGTGCCCCCACTCTTTTCTGTCTCGCCAGTTCCTGCTTTCTCTCCATTCTCTCGACCCTTCAGCGCATGTCGCCCTTGAAGCATGCAAACCAAGTGCATCTAGAAACACCATCTACCTCTCCTCACTCATCTTCTCCCTTAGCATCTTGCCCCCCATCCCCGTCGCTTGCACGAGTTCAAGTTTCTGCAATCTGGCACTCCAAAACAAAAGGCCTGCAGCATTGGCAACCCAGATTGCCAAGCCTATCCGTAGTTGTCCGGTTGCAAACTGTTCATGGCTTCATGTTGCCCCTCGCCTTGATGCCAAGCTCTCCTCGAATCAAAATAAATCAAATTAGCTTCGCAAACTCGTTCGCCAGAACCCCTGGAACCCCCCCATTTGGGTCCGGACCCCCCTCTTCAAGTCGGCACAAAATGAAGCCGCCGGCTCTTGAAATCCCAATCCTTCAAGAACATATCCATCACAACTAAGCGATGAGGTTTGCTCTGGGATCATCCCCAAGAAACCCATAACTAAGCGATTAGGTTTGCTCGGGGAACCAAGGCATACAGAATTTGCAATGTGGCCATGGGTCAAAATCCAAATTGTACCCCCAGTGAACATCCCAATCCCCACTAAAATCGGTTCTAAATTGGGTGGTGAATTCACCTAGCAACCAAAATGGGATCAACCACAACGGTTTTAACCAACCACCATGTGCCACCCCGCCGATTTTCTTCGCGCCCAGCTGTCGAGCCGAACGAACGCTTGGCCTCGAGGTACTGGAGGGCCACAGTGGCCAGCGCCGTGGTGGAGGTGAAGCCCCAAAACATCCTCGGAGCGGAACCCGTCCGCTCCCTTCGTTTGACCCCTAGAGGTACAAACGCCAAAAGTGATGGAAGAACATGGAAGTTGATGCGTTCTTGACATGTCACGTCCTCAAAGGAAACGAACTACATGCCATGACCAAAACACATATTCCACAGGAGCCGTCTCTCTCTCTCTCTCTCTCTCTCTGGCAAATCGATTTGCTGAGCATCACGAGCAAGCTCTCCCACACCAGCGCAACCCCCAGGCCGCTCACGTTGGCCACTGCGCCTCGGGGAAGTGCCAAGTGAAGAACCCCATGCCCGGTCCAAACTGGTTGGTTCCAGGGTGAGTTATCTTGACTAGGTCCTCCAGTACAGAGGTTAGAATAAGGGTAAATAGGGGAACACTCCCCCCAGAAAGGGTAAAAGGGCACTACTGGGGGACCTAGTTGAACATGAGCCGGAACCCAGAAACATGTAATAAAAGAATCTGACAGAGGTATGCATAAATGGTGGCATAGCCTAAAGGGTAGCAAATATTGCTCACTGGCGGGCAATTGTGCCAGGGATGCCTGAAACATGCGACCTGGTCTGCTTAAGACTTGTTTGTAGCAATGGGACGTTGAGCGGCCAGGGGACCAAATGTGACAAGTGGCCTTTAGCCAGTCTCCAAAAGCGGCCATAAAGCGCGGCGAGAGCGACAAAGCAGTTTACAACCGCATGGCACTAGTATAAGTGCTGATTTGTTGCTTGCAAATGTGGCATTCAGCTGAACATCTTAGTTCATTCGACATGAATGAAAAATTGCTCCTGTCACCCAACGAAGCCCCACTCTCCCCTTGATCTTTGATTGGATCCCTGCAAGGCCAGCTGGACGCTGAGCCTCACATTTGAGTAACGTCAAACAACAGGCCAGGCGCGTGAACCGCCCGAAAAATAGCAAATTCCGAGACAACCACACAGAAACACCGCACGCACGCAATGAAACGAAGGAACAGCCACACACACACACAAAATAAATATATAAACTGCCAACCAAACCCAACCCGCCAGTCATCCGAACACGATCACAGTTCTGTGGCCAGCTGCCCTCCAACAAGTCACACTGATCCCAAGATACCCACAGATTGCCACGTAGCCCACCCGCGAAACGTGGAGTTCCCAGCTCAGCCCCGGTCTCAGCCCTACCCAAACCTTGCCACGCACCCGTGCAACGTGGAGTTCCGGTCTCTCGGGAGTCTGGGCGCGGCACAGCCGATCAAGGCCTGCTTGGGCCGCAAGGAGCTGCCAAAGACCCGCAGCGCATAGCAGCCGCTGGGGGCGATGACGTTGGCCACCACCGCCACCACTGAGGACACCAGGAGGTCTGCCGCAAACTCGCCCTGAGGGGAAGTGAATGGAAGTCTCTGCAAACCAGCTTGGTTTCGAGAACAGATGGGCGGTAGAGCGCCCAGTTTTTGAGCAAACACGCTCTGCAAATCAGCACTGGCCGCTCAGTTGTGCCATCCAAAGCACATCAATGGAAAATATTTGAGGAGAAATGCAAAAAGGCAAAATCGCCTGCCATACCTGAATCTTCCTGATCTGCCTGCAAACATGGTTGGCAAAAGTTGCCGTTTCGCCTTCATGGATTTGCCCTACATGAGAAACAAGTGAAAAGTGATGGCGACACAAAAAAAGGCGCCGATTGTCTTGCAAGGCAGCTTTTCGCGAAAAGGCACAGAAGACACATTGGAAGCTCTAGTGCAAAAGAACGTTTCTTAGAATAGGGAACCTCACAATGTTGTTTGCCTCTTTGGCTTCCCTTTACCCACTCTGAAACGAGTAGACATACAAACTCACTCTAAACAGCTTTCACATGTCTGCTGATTGCCTGGCACCGCAAAGAAGCTGCAACCAACTCCACGTACAAATAAGCGGCTTCTGCATCATGATGCGTAATTGCGCGGACGGATCATGGAAACCAGGGATGGGTAAGGGAATATGTTCATCAAGCATCTGCCGACATGGCACCTTTATCAGGGAATCTTGGGATTGGTAGCTTCGAGATTTGAGGCGTAAAGCCTAGCACCATAATTTGTCGTCGGTGCAGTCCTGAACAAAGGTGCCGATCATGCCATTCATCAGCGCAAAAATGGCGACCACCAGTGTGAATCGCTTCAACTCAGCAGGGGCCGGCCGCAGGGCTGGCTTCTCATTCTCCTTCTCCTTCTCCGCCATGGCAAACAAACAAGCTGGAGTTCGGAATCGGTCTCCCTGAAGTTCCAAAAGCTGATTCTCCGACTCACTGCAGCCATGAAAACCAGTGAGCCGCGTGCTTGCATTTGTCTTCCCGATCAAGCCAAAGGCAGCTTGAGCCAGCAAGCGCAACCACAGCGTCCGAACAGCCCCATGCGCAACGTAAAAAATTGCCTCTGGAATGGTTGCTCGCGTTCTCATACTCACTTGCCCAAAGGACCTGGAAATACAAGGTTAACCTTTTGGGACCTCTACTAAAAGTAGAACAAAAAAAGGAATACCAAAAGGTCAAAAGGTCGTCTTTGAACAACTGAGCATAATCTCGAGGGAAGCAGCTGGTTGCCATTCACAACTCTCACATCACAGGCCACAACCCAGCGTGCCTGATCCAGCCCCGGCACACCCAAATAAGACCACAAGCGACCAGCGCCTGCCAGCCGCAGCTGGGGAAGCCACCACCGAACAAACAATGACATCAAAGCTGCAAACACGCCGTCGAAGCCTTATAGAGGGTCAAGATCTCTTCGTTGCCTCAGCTTCTCAAATTGCGGGTCCCAAATCAACACGGGATGCTAAAGCGGCAGTGGTCTGCCTGCCTGGCACTTTGCCCTCTGGCTGACATAGTTGCGACGCATGTGCATGTGGCTCTGGAAACAAGCTTGGGTTGGTGTTGTGAAGCACGTGTTATGGGATCGACGTGCAGACCGTTGGCAAAGATCCAGGACAAACCATACATAATATCTGAAAATGGATTGAATTGAGCCAGGCCCCTTCAGCCCAAATCAGCTGACCATTGGAAGGAGCGCTGTCGTTTGCTCGGACGGGTTAGGGTACCCAAGGTCAGCAAACCTATTGAACATTGAATATACATTGAGACCTGATGTGAGTCACAATAAGGCGGCCGCGATTATTTGCGGCTTGGATTGTTCCTTACAAACTTTCATTTGCCCGGTTTTTGATTTGTGGCTCATGGTGATTTCCACTTGGGGCAGGGGGCGCATTCCTTCCCCGCGCAGCGGCCTGGGACCTACCTGAGGCCTCGGCCGATGCGGGGCATGTGCACGGGCGCAATGCCGGAGCTGCCGGGCCAGCGGCCATATCCCACCGGCGCGGTGAAGCGGAAGGGGCCTCGGCACAGGCTCCAAGGCCTGGGAGGCGGTGCCTCTCGGCAGAGAAGTTGGAGTGTCTTCGCGCTGCAACTCACGCGCATTTGTTTGAAACTTGCAGAAAAAACATAGAAGAAGAAGCAACAGTGGCAGCAACAACAGAGGCAGGCAAGAAGATAGAAAACGTGCCTCTTATTGGACCTGAACCACCACTGAGGCTCGATCCCCATCATCTCCAAGCTAAGCAGCTGAAGCAAAACGAGGCCTTTCCTTGGAAGGACAGCGCTGGATACACTGCCACGGCCGGTGGGAACTCCTGCAGCGTTGAGGGCTGGCAGGGATTCGCAGTCGTCACGGGAAACAACCTCCAAAAAGCTTCGACGTGGTTCAGGAACTCTCTTAGAGGTGCACTCCTGCCCATTTCATGGTGAAAGGTTGGGAACGTTGTGTTTATTCAAGGAACGCCACATACTTTTTGCAGCATGGTATCCCTTTGACGCCGTCCAACGGAAAAGCAGAGACCACGCGATGCCAAATTCTGCCCCTGAGCTCCTCCCCCTGAAACGTCGGCTCTTCGTCCCACTGGCCATCAGTGGCGAAGAACATTTGGCGGTTATCCAGGTCCACAGCAACTCCCACAACGACTTCGCTCTTCAGCATCTTGTCATTTCCTGGGCCGGGGAGAGATCCTGGGTTTGGGAGGCTCCAGGTGGTGGGCGATTGGCCGATATCCTGTAGAACTTCCAGTGGCTGGATGCTACACTTCCATTTCCTTAATTCACCCCAAACCTAGGCTTCCATTTGCTTAACTTTGTTTCTTTTCCCCTGTTGGTCTTCAAGGGAATCTATCTCTACTGCCAATATGTTTGCATGTTGTTGTTTTTCCCCAGGGGACTTAATGGTATATGGCTGTGGGTCAAAAATGGGTAATGGAACCCTGGTAAATGGAACCCATGACTAAAACAGGCGGTCCCCTGGTGGTTTAATTTTGACCGGACACCTAAGCCCAAGTAGAGCCGGGGGCTCGGGGGTCTCTCCTGACGCCTCTCCTGCTCCGAGGCGCCTGAGCCGCTGGACGGCCAGATCTGGCCCCAGGCGCCATTGCTGCCCCCGTGCCACCGGGAGGCGCTGAGCCCGTCCACGGCCCAGCCGTGCGCGTCGTCCCCCACGCCTGATGCGTCGGATGCGTCTGAGGCGTCTGATGCGGGCGAGGCCGACTTCTCTGGATGCCGAATGTGCTGAACACATCTGGGCTGCCCTCAGATCCTCCGCTAAAAGTTTAACTTTTAGCGGGTTAAATGGAAACTACCACTAAACACTAAAAAGCTAAAAGGCTACGGGATGGCTGGGAGCCACCAAGAAATAGTTGCTGTTGACCCCGATTTTGTTTGGTTGGTCCAACGGAAAATGAGCTGTTGCTGTAAACTGCAACGGCCCCTCGCAAAAAGCGAAAAACCTTTTGTTGGTCCAAATCCAACCAAATAGCCCCAAAGAACACGTGTCCATGGTTCTAGAAATTTCCACGGGCCGGGTTTAGCTCGCTCAATTTCCCTTGGACCTTCCTCAGTTTGGCAGCCAGTTGTTGCAGCAGGACGCTTAAGAGCAGGTGCAATCAAAAGGTGTGAAGATTCGAATCCTTGCGGGAAGCCATGGACATATCTGTGCAGCAAACTTAGCGGCAATCACATGTTCAGACTCCCCCCCCCCTTCTGCGAAAAAGTGGTCAACCTCCGAACAGCGGACTGCACCCTGACAGCCCCGCCCATCCCAACGGCCGAAACTTGCGGAGCTCGGGTCTGTTCTTCCCGTCCTTGGCTGCTCTTGGCACCTGGCCGCGGCTGGAAGTGCTCACTGAGCAGCCCCACTTGCGGCGCCTTGCAGTCCTGGTAGGGTCAAGGCCATTGACCCCTTCAAAAGATTGCCGTGTGACACGCGCGCGTCGACCCTGGCTTTCATAGGAACTGCGTGACGCAAGTCAGGCTCTGAATTCAGGCTCTGAATGGAAGCAGCTGATTTCTTGTGTTCACCTTATGCTCATTCTGACAGCCTCTTTCGTCTGCCCTCCCCAGCCAATCCCTTGACTTGCAGCAGTTGCATGTCCAAACAATCATATTGACGGAGAGGGCTTGAGGTGTGATGCGGTCCTTCTGCAGAAGCACCTCAAAGTACCAGCGGCCCGAGTCTTGGGCAAAGTCCGGATAGCCGAAGGTCACCCACTCAGTCCTGACCAATGAACACCAGATGGCGAGGGCAAAACGAATCGCATCGATGTTGCGACTGAGCTTTGAACAGATCGACAACATCCCCGCTCAAACAAAACGTGCTCGTTGCTGGTGGTTAAACACTGCATGACTGCTGCTCCCAGCCCTCCCCAGCGCAAACATTTTGCAGCCAGCCCAAAACATACATATCCTGCGAAGAAGGTGGCTGCAAAATCGACCATGGGCACGTGTCCACCATGCTTGCCCCACCCACCCCCATCCTCACACCCCTACCCACAGGGGTGCTCAAAAGAACTCCCCCCCCAAGACCAAAACATTGCTTTGGAGACCCCAAACACCCTCCGGCTTATTTTGCAGGCTAAACAACACCCTAAACAAGCAGGTGTTGAAAATTTGACTCCGACTAAACCCCAAGCGTCCATACCTTCTCCCTGCCCCTCTCCCCCCACCCACCCCACCCCACCCACTCCCCCCCCCACCCCCGCCACTCGTCCGCTGGGCTTCCCGACGTGGGGTCCACCGTGCTGCCGCGCAGCGGCGTTGGCAGCACCATCGGCACCTCGCTGGGCGCCGTCGCGCTCATCGCCACCTCCACCAGGCCCTGGCCGGACAGAGGCTTGGACCAAGGGGATTCAGGGGGCCAATCCCGAAAACGGGTACACTCCCTTCTAACATGGCACCTATAAAAGGGCACCTGGAACATCATGTCCCTCTTGTAGGGACCGGGTCCCTGTCAGGTGCCATGTTAGTGGGAGTGAGGGTACCTTCCAAAAAAACACGAGTTGACAACATCCCTTTTTAGCGGTCACCCTGTTTTGACATAATATGTGTGGGTGTTTCTTGTGCTTTAAGGGTGCCCATTTGTTTGGTGATGTTGAAGGGGAACCACAAGGAACACCGAAGGTATCTCAAAAAGAGACACACCCATACTGTGGATGGACGAAATCCATTTCGCACCAGGAAGGAAACCATGACAAACTGGCAACTTTACAGAGAATTGAATCAGAACCAGGGTTTCTTAGGTGGCGCGAACGGATGCCGTCCATCCACAGTATTGGGAGTCCTTAAAAAGAAGGGAAACCCAAGGAGAAACCTGTTCTGCTTTTTTTTTTGGTTTGGGGGGAGGGTCCTTCTTTTCAGACGTCTCCATCAAACCACCCAATGGGTCTCAAGAAAACCCTTAACAACCACCACATCTTGCATCTTGAAAACGTAGATAAAAGTCATTGAAAGATGCACACAAGTATTGAACCACGCCGTTCAAACTAAATTTCTTCTTCGAGGTTTGTCCGGGGTGTCCGGAAAAAAATGATAGAAAAGGGTCGGGGAAACCCAAAGCAAGTGGTGTCTTCCCGTGCCACCCCCGCGTCTCTCGCCTGCAGCTCGCGATCGTTGTACTCAGCCAGCCTCAGACAGGCAAAGCGCCTGTAGAACCCTTCGGAGCTGGCGCTCCAAGACTCAGGTTAGCTTGCTTGGTTGCTGCAACGACCCCCTGCAAAAAAATGTGTTTTCACTTTTTGGGGGTGTAGTGGAAAACACCCTTCTTTCCCAAAAAGCTGAAGTCTAAAGATCCCACCCAATAGCTGTCAAGTTTCTTAAAATTGGACTGAATTGGAATTGGTGGATTGGGTTTGAGATGTTGGCTTCGGGGTGGGAGGGAAGCTGGGACTGGAATGGACGAGGCTGGAGTGGGAGTTGAGGAGAAACATATTAATCAGGGGTGGCTATCCTTGTAAGGAAAGCTATCTTTCAAGGCTTGCTTTGAATAGGGTGCTCCGGATTAATCCGAAGTCAACATTACATCAGAACTCCTTGTTCCCTTAGCTTGGCCACAAAAAAGGGCAGTTTAATGAGACATTGAGGGGTGCTTTGACTTAAGCTGTGCCCCCGGGATATTGCAAGCAAGGCCACGCAGTTGCTTTTCTTGGGCGGGGGGGGGGGAACCACTACAAACGCATTCAAGAAAGGTCTGGGACATCCAGCAAATCGTGGTTTTGAATGGAAAACAACTCTGCTCGCTATGAATGCTCCTATGAAAGCTTTGGGCGCAAATCGATTCGTTTCAAGAGCTCACGGCCATCAGCACCAAAATGTCCCCGGCAAGCAGCACGTGGGCGTACTTGTCCAAAACCCCCAGGCGGTTCGCCCTCATACCTGCATGGGCACAACCAGTGGCTTTCACATCGGGAGCTACGGTTGGAGCCCGCATTGCAACCCGGGAGCTATGATGCTCAGTGTGTCGAATTGTGTGCGCTGATAAGTGATCCGCTGCAAATTCCTTGCACACCCTAGACATTGACGCTCAAAGGTCGAACTATTGGCCCGCCTCCCGAGTCAGTAGAGCACATGGTGGTGCGCAAGCGCACATCCTTGAGCACCTCAGCATCATTGGTAAGCACACTCAGCAGGATATCGATTTGTTGCATTTATAGGGTCACGCAAGTGGCATCAGAAAAAGTCAATATTCTACTTCAAACAAGCTGGGATCCTGAATGCTCGCATTTGCGATGCGAATAAACACGAGCTTTGTGAAAGTTATTGTGATTTCCGGACTTGCGGGATCCCAAAACCTGGAAGGCAACGAGGACATGCCCAAACACCTCCCAGAATAAAGAATGCGGCTGACATCCGCTGACCACCCGACAAGCCAACGCAAAGGTCACCACGAAATGCCAAGGCACCAGGTAGGAATCCCCATACTGTCGTGCTTTGACGACGCCTCACGGAGGATAGCCATGGAAATTCGATGCAAAGGAAAATGGCCGAGACTTGCCGAGCCCAAGTCTTAGATCAATCCAGCAACCAGCAAGAGCCACTGATGTCATTAAAAAAAAAAAAAAAACATCCGGGCTGTGGAAAAGTGGGATGTGCAGTGGAAAAAAGTGCAAGTCTTTCTCGTAGGCCGACGCGACGTTTCTGCCTCGGTAGTCATTCATCACGTTCCTGGGAAGGCAAGTCTGTCCCAGGGATCTCCCATTGAACCAAAACGTAAGCCGAGAAGTCGTCCGTTACCTATGGACTACCACATGACTTACTTGCAACATTCAGAAGCCATTCGGCCCAAGGCTTGCTCTTGCATGGGCATCCTCCGTGCGGGAACCAACAAAGGAGACATGTCGGCAGAATCAACAGCTTGCTCGCCCCTCTGATGCGCAAAGCGGGGCAGAGGTTCAATCCACCATTACAGCATCAGAAGAGCGGCATGTGCAAAACATCACCTGGCCATTTGCAGGCTCAGTATTGTTGCGGGATGCTGTGTGTTGAGTGTTGCCAGGCTATTCATTCAGGGCAAGCCCTGTCTGTGAGAACAACAAGGCTGTAGTAGCAAAAGGACCCTGTTCGTGCATGAGCAGTACCGGGCGTGCCGCAGGTGCCGGCCATGCACGCGAGATGCCAAAGCTACAACATCTAGCATACTTGCCACGGGCGCTGTGAACACGTGGCCATGTGAAACTAGGGGGCTCTCAATTTGTTGCACGCTTCCAGCTCGGTCAATACTCAAACGGCCGAGGTGACAACCTATATTGCAACCTGCACTTTCAATCTCACAAGTCAGTGATGACAAGAATGAGTCTGTACCCTAGAAATGGCAGTCATCCTTTGGTTTCCCTTTAAACAAAACCAAAAAAAAAAACGACTGAAAGCGTACCCAAAATAAGCGGTATGGGCAGAGACTCCATAGCTTACAGCTGGGGAAAGAAACAAACATGCAGCCCAACATGGCCCAACATGGGTCCCCTGACCTTTGCCATTGCCAAGCTTCAACGCCCCGTACTTGCAGCGGTCGAAGCCCTTGGCGTTGTCGTAAGCACCGCCGAAGAGTTCCTTCTCCCAATTCCTGAAACGGATTTCAAAACGACCTCTCTTGGGACATGCAAGTTTGGGCAAGGCTCTCAAGTGCAAGAAACCACGGCTGGTTGCCCACTTGACCGAGCGCCAATGGGATCGCGATGGGAGCACTGAGATACCAATGAAATATGTCCGAAAACAACATCCAAGCTCCAACTCGGCCTATCACCAATCCTTCTAGGCGACAGGGCAAGCATTGTGTCAACATTGAACTGCACCCACTGTTGTAGCTTACACGCCGATCGAGCTGAGTCCAAGAGTAGGGCATCTTCATCTAATGGGTAATCTCATGCTAGCCCAACTAAGCTGGCCATACTTGGTGCAATGGATACGCAAGCACACTTACCTGTGCCACAGGCTCAAAGCCTCCCGCACAGCTCTGGTCGAAGGCTGGGCTCTAATGACCTCACATCCTTTCGGGCCTCTTGTATGTTAAAGGGTTGTCTTGAAAGCGCCTCCAGTTGCAAATGGCATTTTGCGATAAACAGCACCCCGACTTGGGCAAGGGATGCCGCACATGGGAAGCTTTAGCATCCGTCGGCATTCTCGGGGGGTGCCATTTGGCACTCGGCACTCTGCAGAAGCCAAGGCGCTGTCTGGTTCTGTTCTCCTCAGCTGCTCTCAACAGAAAGAGCAACACTCGGAGCAGCCAAACAGCAACTGGTCTGACGAATACCCTATGGCCAATCCCAGCCAAAGTAGCAGGGATCCTTGACAAAGAGTGGATAGCACATTTGTGCCATGCAAATTGATTTTTCTCTGAACTAGCCGTGATGGATGAAGTTGCGCCATCGGTCATTCACCAAACTTGCACTCATGAGCTCGACAAATGTACACGAGGGATATAGGCTAAACTAGGGGGTACAATGCTCCCACGCGGGGTGCATTTTATATATAAAGCACGTGCATTCCTGCAGCATGCACATGTACAGGGTGCTGGGTTGGCTAGATGCGATCGTGAATTCATGCGTCAGCCAAGTCAAAAAGATCTGCCTTTTAGGGCTCCAAATTCAAACGGAGGATGCAAGATAATCTCTGTTTCATGGACGCTCAATGTGACGTCAACCAGGGTCACCCCCCTTCAAAGCAAATCTTCCTCTGAAACACCCTCCTCACCCCCTCATACATGTTTGGAAATGCGCTTCGCATTGGCACTGCCTCTAAATCTTGTTAAATCACATATGCTTCTACACCCCCAACCATAAAACTACATAGAACAGTATCTGGGCTGTCCTCAGATCCCCGGCCAAAGAAAAGAAGGTGGGTTCAATATGGTAGCCCCCACTGAACCAACTAACAAGCTGAAAAGCTAAGGAATCGGACGGCTGGGAGCCACCAAGTCATAGAACTTTCCACCTCCATTTGCTTAAGCCCCGAACCAAAAAGATGTCCAATGATAGATTCCCCTTGCGTAACATATTCTTAAGCAAATGGAAGTATATAACAACACTATAGACCATAGACCATAGAAAGGCCTGGACCAGAAAGGCCCTGAAGGAACACTTCGTCGGGAGCCCGAAGCAATATAAAACACTATATGTAGATGAGTATAGAAACCAATTCCTTTAAATAAGACCAATGGGAACCAATTCCATTTGACTTAACTCCTTCTCCTTTTCCGACCGATTTTTCTTTTCCGGGCGCCTTCCGAACACGCTTTTCGACCCGTTTTCGGCGCCCGGGGCACCGGATCCAGCGCCCCGCAGGAGGTCTTCGTCTCGAACTGGTTGCGGTAGAACTCGTCGGACTCCATGAAGTGGCCCATGCGGTCCAGGCCCACGTGGATGCAAATGGGCGCCATGTCCTGCCACTTTCGGAGTTTCTCTTCTTCTTTTTTCCCCAAACAGCGAAGCATTGGGGTTCTAACTTGAGGTATAGAATGGGAAAGTGTGACGCCGGTTCCGGGCTCCTGTTTTCCGCTTGTCTTCCTGTCTCCCAGTCTCGTCTCTCCGGTCAGATGCCAAATTCTCCCGCTTGTCTCCCTGTGTCTCCCAGTCTCCGCGTTCAGATGCCAGATGCTGTGACGCTGGCTCCGGGCTTGTCTCCCGCTTGTCTCCCTGTGTCAGATGCTGGCTCCAGGGTCGTGTCTCCCGCTTGTCTCCCTGTGTCTCCCTGACGCTGCCCGGGGTCGTGTCTCCCGCTTGTCTCCCTGTGTGTCGTGTCTCCCGCTTGTCTCCCCTGTGTCTCCCAGTCTCTGGGGTCAGATACTAGATGCTGTGACGCCGGCTCCGGGGTCGTGTCTCCCGCTTGTCTCCCTGTGTCTCCCAGTCTCCGCGGTCAGATGCCAGATGCTGTGACGCCGGCTCCGGGCTTGTCTCCCTCTTGTTTTTGTGTGTTTCCCAGTCAGATGATGCTGTGACGCTGGCTCCAGGGTCGTGTCTCCCGCTTGTCTTGCTGTGTCTCCCAGTCTCCGCGGTCAGATGCCAGATGCTGTGACGCCGGCTCCGCCGCTTGCTGTGACGTCTCCCGCTTGTCTCCCTGTGTTTCCCAGATGCTGTGACGCTGCCCGGGGTCGTGTCTCCCGCTTGTTTCCCTGTGTTTCGCGTCTCCCGCTTGTCTCCCTGTTTCTCCCAGTCTCTGCAGTCAGATACTAGATGCTGTGACGCCGGCTCCGGGGTCGTGTCTCCGGCTTGTCTCCCTGTGTCTCCCAGTCGCTGTGACGCCGTCTCCGCTTGTCTCCCTGTGTCTCCCAGTCTCTGCGGTCAGATGCTAGATGCTGTGACGCTGGCTCCAGGATCGTGTCTCCCGCTTGTCTCCCTGTGTCTCCCAGTCTCCGCTGTCAGATGCCAGATGCTGTGACGCCGGCTCCGGGCTTGTCTCCCGCTTGTCTCCCTGTGTCTCCCAGTCTCTGTGGTCAGATGCTAGATGCTGTGACGCTGGATCCAGGGTCGTGTCTCGCGCTTGTCTTGCTGTGTCTCCCAGTCTCCGCGGTCAGATGCCAGATGCTGTGACGCCGGCTCCGGGCTTGTCTCCCGCTTGTCTCCCTGTGTCTCCCAGTCTCTGCGGTCAGATGCTAGATGCTGTGACGCTGGCCCCAGGTCGTGTATCCCGCTTGTCTCCCCGTGTTTCCGACGCCGCTCCGGGGTCCTGTTTTCCGCTTGTCTTCCTGTCTCCCGGCTCCGGGTCGTGTCTCCCGCTTGTCTCCCTGTGTCTCCCAGTCTCTGCGGTCAGATGCTAGATGCTGTGACGCCGGCTCCGGGCTTGTCTCCCGCTTGTCCCCTTGTGTCTCCCAGTCTCGTGACGCTGGCTCCAGGGTCGTGTCTCCCGCTTGTCTCCCTGGTCTCCCAGATGCTGTCTCTCCGGGGTCGTGTCTCCGGCTTGTCTCCCTGTGTCTCCCAGTCTCCGCGGTCAGATGCCAGATGCTGTGACGCCGGCTCCGGGCTTGTCTCGCGTTTGTCTCCCTGTGTCTCCCAGTCTCTGCGGTCAGATGCTAGATGCTGTTGATTGCTTAAGAATATGTGTCTATTTGTTGGTGGGCTCCCTAGTTTGACCCTGAAAACACGGACAAACCCTCGGTGCCACCCTCACAAGCCAAAATATAGCTGCGGGTCAAAACCAATGGTTCCATGTTGGGAGGTGCGCCACCCATTTCAATCTATTTTAGTTCGGATTGGGATGTTCACTGGGGGTACAGGATTTTGACCCATGGCCATGTGTTTGGTTTCTGCTGTTGGCTTCAAAGGGAATCAGACCTGTTATGCTTTCTTGCTGTTTGGGGTCGAGGCTGGTGTAATTTGTATATCTAAATATATATATATATGTATATATATCTATATATATATATGAACAGGCGTGGATCTTGGGGGGGGGTGAGCACATATATATATATATGTATGAACATTGTTTCGGAAATCCGGCCAGGAGATGTTCGGATTTTCGGATTGTCCAAACGAAGCCCAGGAACCCCCGTCAAAGATGGCAAGTGGTGCAACGGAGAATGAGCAAACACATTGATCCAATGCTCCGGTAGAGGCTGTTTGAGCAAGTGTACACGTTTGTGGGACACAAGATCCTGCTATCGCTGTGATTGACATCCGGCCAATTGTAACAGCCACTCAAGCCCCTTAGTACAGCGAGGGGGAACACATATTCATATGGAAAATAAAGAACATCCTATGCGGGCAATCCATTTCGCCATCCGAGCGCTGCGGTCACACATCACATTTCCCTCGCAAGCATGGCACCATGTGAAGGAAGCCCCCTTTGAAGAAGGCAAACAACTCCAAACGGTTGATCCTTTGAAAGAGGTCAGTATATATTTGGGGGATAGTAGATACTACCACCAATTCCAAATGACCTTTTTCTGTTTCGCTTGGCATAAATGGAATGTGCCCTCTCCTGCAGGTGAACTTGGAGGGGCATCGCAGAATTTGGGGTTTCGCTGACTTCCTGAGTGGATTTGCCTGCGCCAATCGGAGTTTGTGTTTGCACTAACATGGTCCAGACCCAAAACGTATATCAGAAGTCTAGACAAGCCCGGGGAGCGGAAAGCGGAATTATTCCGATAGTTCTTACAAAAAAAAAAAAAGAAAACAAACAACCAACCCCCCCCCCCAAAAAAAAAAGAAAAACAAAACAAAAAAACACCAAAACCAAAAAGAAACAAACAAACGCCACGGAACAAAAAGCCTTCCAAGGCTTGAACCTCCCCTGGGCTTTTAACAGCCTCTCCCGGCGCTTGCACCCGCTTCGGAAGCCGTTTCCCGTCGCCTGGATCCAGCCCAGGGTGGTGTCCAGCTCCCGCTCCTTGAAGCCCAGCTTCTCGAAGCGCTCCCGGACCTTCCAAACAAAATCCTTGACTCAGAATGAAACATGTGGCATGGTCGCAAAGCTGGGAAGGACATGGTGTTGCGTACCAAAAGGAAAATTGACCTGCCTCTTGTTCATAGGCTTTAAACATCATGTAGCATGAGTAGCCTCCGACAAAGGGAAGGGTGACCAAAATTCCTGGATTCAGAATGAAGCATGTAGCATGAGTAGCCTCCTAAAGCCTGAGCTCCTCCGGAGACCTGGCCGGGGGCCCTGCCTCTTGTTCATAGGTGTCCTTTTAGGGCAAATCGATGGGTTTCCCTGGTAGATGATTAAACCACCAGGTAAACCAGGAATCGCCATCTTGATTTTTCGACCAAAGCAACCAAAAGGGACACCTATGCCTCTGAGCCCAGTTCTCACGCGCAAAACCCCCGAAACGAAGACCCACCACAGAACACGTGCGATCGGATCGCGAGAAAAAGATGCGACCGATCCACTGAAACCTCGTCCCGTTCAACTCAACACAATCCATTTTTACAAGAAACCTTGCGATCGGTGCGACAGAGATGTGATCGGAATGAGACATGGAATAGAATGATGGACAACTGGCGATCGGTTTGGACCATGGTCCTCTTATATAAAGGTACCAGTTCAACCGGTGATCATTGATTGTGGTAGTCTGGTTTGTGATTCCGTGGCCAACTGTCCACAATTTCTAACCTTCAAACAACAGAAAAGGGCAAAAGGGTAGAAATTGTGGAAATCAAAGGAACCCCTCCCACCCTTTTCACATTGGAACCTGAGGTCTAGGGTGGTCCTGGAACCATTTTCCTCAGGGACCATTTCCCTGGGCCATTTTCCATGAGTGCTTGGATCAGCTTCTTGGAACCCAAGGCCTTCAACTAGGTCCTCCAGAATAAGGGTACCCACTTTTTTCCAAGAGTCGATTTTAGTAGGGGAATCCTCCCCCAAAAAAGCAACGGTCAAAGGGCACTGCTGGGGGAACCAGTCTATTTTGCAGGGCGCGGCTTCGACTCGTTTCGGTCGCAGTGTGCGACGAACTCGTCTCGGTCCCAGTTTGCTCGTTTCGGTCTGAGTTTCCACAAATCGGCCCCAATCCTCCCCCAAAAAAGCAACGGTTGAAGGGCACTGCTGGGGGACCTGGCCACGTGCCCATCAGATCCCTCCGATTTCCGGGTTTGGAGGCCTTCGGCAGGTGCTGCTCATGGGTCTCGGTGCATTGCGCGCGGACCCCCGCCAAGGCCTTGCGCTGGCAATCCGTGAGGCCTGGCGGAAGGGACAGTGCCTCCCGTTGCCTCCGGTAGGGGCCCAGAAATAAGACGTGGCTGCTCACTGCGAAGACCTGCCAAAAGTGAATAACTTTTAGTGGTTTAATATGGAAAACCCATTAGTTTGCAAAAAGTTAAAGACCTATCATCCAAGCAAAATGCGCCAAAGACAAGGTGATCACCTTTTTGGGAGCGTGACTACTATGGTTGCCCAACATCAACAAAAAGTCAAAAGATCGGCTTTGAACAACTGGAGACAAAGGTGGTGAGTGTTGCGAGGCGCTTTCAGCTTGCACAAAGAACTTTGACTTTTTGAAACTGGCCAATTAAGTGGTAGCCAAGATTGTGCGAGGATCAGCAACAAGGGGCCACCCCGTGTTCGGTTGAATTCCAGGAAAGTGCCAAAGCAAAGAATTAAAAGGCGCCAGTGAACAACTGGGAGTAATAAGGCGGCCAAGGCACGTTCCACTGCTCTCATTTCCGACTCTGGCAGCAGGAGGGCCCAAAAAGCCTGATCCTCGTCCTGAGCCAAGGAACTTGTTTTTGGCGACTGGGCCCTCACAGCTTGCCTGTCTGGCAGCCTGGATGCCCTCTCCCCCACCTGAAAGGGGGTCCCTTCAGGAGGAAATTTGTCCTCCGGATACGGGGGCATCTGTTTTTAGGCTTGAACCTGCGACGGGAGTTGTGGAGCGGACATGCGCCTTGATTGCGAATAGCTCGCAAAAGTGCGGAACGTCACTGCCGGCTGGGGAATCCAACGAGTCAAAGTACACGACACCAAGCAAATGTCACACTTCAAGGAAAGGACCACCCATGGGATGGTTGATTTCCCATTCTGCCCGGGCAAGGTGGGTTTGCGCAGCAACCTCTTCATCTCAACTTGCGGGAAAATACCATCTCTTCCCCGTACGTCTCCCAACGGCCATGGGGAACATAGTTGGGATTGAACCGCCTGACCAGAAGGAACAAAGGAACCACCCTGCCCCAAAGCAGCTTTAAAGCCCAAAAAACGGCAAGTATCTTGTATATCTGCATCCCCCACGAGCAAAAGGCGGAGCACCTCCCTGCCGCGTCCGTCGGCGTCCGAGGCGCCAGTAGCCCGATCTCCCGCAGCGCGCTCTGCACGGAGGCGTCCTCTACACTGCTGAGGACCCAGGTGGGCGGCACCACCTGCCTCGCGAGAACAATCGCCCCAAAAAGCGCGGGGGCTCGGTGGCTTTCTGCGAAGACCCGCTAAAAGTGAATAACTTTTAGTGGCTTAATACGGAAAACACATTGGTTGGCAAACAGTTAAAATCCTAACATCCCTTGGCAAAATGCACCAAAGGTGGCCTTTGTTGCCGGGGTTTGGGTGATAACCCCTTAAGCGCAGCAGGGTCTTGTGGCGCCCCCTCACGTCATGTCACAATCAATCCCGGGTCTGAGCATGTGTCACCCAGCAGTGGCAACCGGAACCTGGCAAAAACGGGAGGCACCTCTGTACTTCATTAGCATGTCTTCTTGGGGGTTGGCCAGTTTTGGTGGGGGAACTCTTGACACAAACGGGGAAAAGGGATGCCACTGACCTGGGGGGTAAAGGGAAGGACTTCGGGAAATGAACAAATGCCGCATTTCCAACTTTGATCGGAAACCATAAGCCTTTTGGGGCTGCAATTCTTATTTCGGGTCTTGGAACAATAATAAGGCTAGCATTTGTTGGAAGTGATATGTTGACACTCCTTGAAAAGAGTTGGTGGAGCAAAGCTCCGTCTGTTTTTGTGCAAAATTTATCATGGTTAAGAGTTGTCGTCCAGTCAACTGTGGCAGCGGAGGCGCGACAAATGTGAGTTCGGCTTTTTACAGTTGTTACCGCCCCTGCAAAAGCTGTACTCTGGTCAGACGAAAATCAAAAACAACAGAGGCATAACGCGGAATGTGACAGGGTTCTATGTTTTGACCACCTGCAAATAGACTTAATGGGTTTAAGTCATTGTGGGGGTAGTCAAAAAGTGGATCCCTGGAATCTGAGGCGTTAATGGGCTTCTTTCCGATGTTCCGTTGAGTTCGGCCCAGGCATGTGGCCATCACGGCTTGCGTCATCATAAAAAGGCCAGAACACGCAATTGCCACCAAAGCGTCAAGGGGCCCCTGGAATCATGCTAACCAAGGCCAAAACCTCAAATGAATCTCTTCGTGCTGGTATTTACATCCCCGGGGTTTCCTGCATTTCCCATTTTGGAACCTCCCAAAGTGGCAGTTTCAACGAAAACCGCCGGTCAATAGCAACTTTTTTGAGAAGAACTCCGGTGATTTCTGTTTACAGGGAAACTAAAATGAAACCAAGGGGAGTGATTCTTATTTTGAGAAGCCCGGGCCTTGCGCGCCAGCGCTTCTGCTTCTCCGAGTAGCCGAAGCCGAACTCGAGGAGCACGCCGTAGGTCACGGGGCCCATGGATCCTGGCATCGGAGGTCAGGTGTTTTTGAAACGACATGGGTGGGGTCTGTCTTCTGTTCAGCCTATCCAGGCAACCAACCAACCAACCAACCAACCAAGTAACCAGGCAACCAACCAAGGCAAGTAACCAGGCAACCAACCAAGGCAAGCAGGCAACCCAGGCAACCCAGGCAACCCAGGCAACCCAGGCAACCCAGGCAACCCAGGCAACCCAGGCAACCCAGGCAACCCAGGCAACCCAGGCAACCCAGGCAACCAAGGCAACCAAGGCAACCAAGGCAACCAAGGCAACCAAGGCAACCAAGGCAACCAAGGCAACCAAGGCAACCAAGGCAACCAAGGCAACCCAGGCAACCAAGGCAACCCAGGCAACCCAGGCAACCAAGGCAACCAAGGCAACCAAGGCAACCAAGGCAACCAAGGCAACCAAGGCAACCAAGGCAACCAAGCAAGGTAACCAAAAAGGTCAAAAGCTCGGCTCTGCGACTTTTGGCGCTTTTTCGAGCTCGTCTTTCTCGGAACCCGTGGACCCTTCGAAGGAACTCCCCGGCTCCTTGGGGCCGCTTCTCCACGCCCACCGCGAGGACCTGGGCCTGGTGACGACTTTCCCACAGGACCCTCTGGTAGCGTCCATGGCAACGCGGACAGAAGGGGAACCGATGACATGAGCTTCTCCAACTTGGTCTATCCTGGACAAGGATTAGTTGCAACACAAAGTGGAACATTTCAAAGGATCCGGCATCTAGCCAACGGAAGGGACAGGGAACTGGTTGAATTTCTGGAACCTTGTGTGGGATTTCGAAGCAAACCGACACACCTGCGGCAGCTGCCACGCATGATTGCCAACAAGCAGTGAAGTAATGGACACAGGGTGTGCATTTGCAAACCTGCTAGTAGCTTCTTCTGAAAGATCTCCGCTTGGACCACCTGAAGCACACACAACCTGACGCGCAAGCAACATTGTGCGAAAGACATCTAAGCGTGAACCTGACAGGGACTGGCGATATTGGAGTGGAGGTATCGCATCAAGGGAATACAAGGGTTGGCGCGTGGACACACTGCCTGGTTGCATGACCATTTTTGTTTGGGAGGAATGAAGCCAGCTATCTGGACAAACTCCTGTAACTCCTCAGAGCGAAATTGAATCCTCAAAGGAACCTTCACAGGTTCTCTCTGGTACCCCGTCCTCGCGCCAGGACTGCGACTTTTGGCCGTGGCAGTAGAAGTGGGCCCGCACCCGGCTGCCCACCGCAAGGCCGGCGTGATCGCACACGTCCTGCTCCCGGCGTTCCCGGTGTGTCGTGTTGTAAGGCCGCCCGTTTGGGCGGGGTGGTTCGAAGGCAACGCAAAAGACGTGCACCTATTGGAGGGTCCGCCACTCTTTGGGAAACTTCATGGGACGACCAAGCTGATGGGAGGCCGAATTACTCATGGTCCAGGGCTCAGCGGTTGTGGGAACAGAATCAAACAGTCTCTTGTTTCATGCCAGGGATGTTGAAACATGTTTCAAAACTATATTACTATTACAAAAGTTCGGAAACAAGTCATCTCATGTCTTGCTTGCCTTACAAGCTGTAGGGAAACCGGGTTGCCTCCACAGCAAAGTCTTTCCCGAAATCGAGTTCGTACTTTGAAAATCCCACAAGTTTCAGTTCGGTGGCAGCCCGGTGGCTTCTATGGGTACGTGCGCACCTTGGAGAAACAAGTGAGAAATCCCGGACATCGAAGATTGAATGAAGCAAGCGCCTGTGCTAATCTTCCATGGGCCAATTGCTTTGGAGCACAGGGCGCTCGTTCAAGCTCCATGCGAATTGGCATTCGTTAGAAAACGATTTCGCAGCTTTCTCGCTCTGCCGCAGGGGATTTCAACTGAATATGCCGCTTGTGCGGCTGTTCCAGGTATGCACGACTCTCATGAGACCTGTGGCTTTGGCTACCTCAGGCTTTGCTCTCTGACCAAAAACCTTCGCATGAAAATTAAAGTTTAAAACAAACACACCTGTTAGGGTGACTTGGCTTGGGTAATTAACCCTACATGCGTTCTAGCAAAGTAGGTTGTACTGGGTTCCTTTCGGATGCTGCACACTTGTCCTTTGGAGCAAGCGATCGGAACCCCGCTTCTTACCATCCAAGATTGCCACTGTGAACCAAACCCTGCGCCAGCCGGCAGGTGATGCACCCCTGCATGCGGCTTCATCCATGCATCCTGGTCCACATTGTTCTGAACAAAATAGTCTATTTGAGTAGGGGAAATCTCCCCCAAAGAAGCAACGGTAAAAGGGCACTACTGGGGGACCTAGCAAAGGCGAGGACTCCCATCTCCCCCCCGCCCGACTGAGCCGGGCCTTGCGGCTGGAGGATATCCTCAACCGCCGGTGCTCGAAGAGCTGCTGAACACCTGGCGAGGGGAACGGAACCGTCCTGCCCACACCCTATGGCAATTTACGGTGCGTTGTATATATATATATATACACATATATGTATATAGTGTGTGTGTGTGTATGTGTACGTGTGTACACATGCACATATGCAAATGAACACGCACATACATGGATATATATATATATATGTGTGTGTATATATACATATATATATTCATATATTATATAATACATGTACACATTCTCAGAAACTAGCCAACTGGTTAGCGTGTTACCCTCCTTGCTACGCATTGCCAGTGCCGGCCCACACTGGCGCTTCGCTGGGTCGCCTCCCATGCGGCCCACGAATCCCTGGAAGTCCTGCAGCGTGATGCGGCCATCCTTGTCCTTCGGAGCGACGCGCAACGCCGGGCTTCGCGGCACGGGAGCTGCACCCGAAGCATTGAAGCATCAACCTACTGTGGACAAAATCCTCTTAGGCACCGCCTGAGGAACCCTAGAATGATGGCTCCCCTGTAAATACCAACAAAGGTTTCCCATGGTTTCAAAGTGGTGCAGGATTTGGTCCATCCACAGTACCTGAAATGGATGTGAGCTGAAAGGGGGGCAGTCGCTGGAACGTGCTTGAACAAGGAGTATGACCCATGATCGGCAAACTTGCTGCCGAATGGGTCAAGCAAGCTTTGGCAACCGGACAAAAAGAACGTAGGGGCCCGCTGGAGGTTCATCCAAAAAACCACTCAGGTTAGCGTCGGGAGCACTTGTTGAACAGGCTGGAAGTCTTCTTTTGCCATCAAAGTCAACCCCCAAGTGGTAGCTCAAAGGGAAACAACCCCAACTGCTGACTTTGATAAGATCCCTTAAGATGTTTGAAATAACGACCTTCTAGACAGTCAAACAGGTACCGAGGCTGCCTTCCCCTTTGAGGGGAAAAAACTGAGGCCAAACGACGCGCGAGTCGGCGGTCCAGATCCATGAGACTGGCTTCCTCAAGGCCCCAGCCCAGGTAGGCGCACCTCAAGTACAAAAAAGCAATCGGCCGGCGTGGGGTGAGTGGAGTGGGTGGGGTGAGTGGGGTAAGTGGGGTGGGTGGGGTGGGATCATGAGTGGGGTGAGGTCATGGGGTAAGGGTGGAAGTTGGCCATCTTTGGAAGGCCTCCGATAAGCTAAGCTATCGCTGGCAGGTCAGCTGGGACTGCTAGGGCACGCTTGGGCCAGACTGCCTTTAAGGCCTTCAAAAACCGAGCAGCCAAATGGGATTTCAAAGAGCCAAGCTTCTGGAAACGTTCTGCAAACATTGTAACATGACCTTCCGTAGCGGGCGAGTCAAAGGCTTCACATGCCTGCTGCTCGCGCTGGCTTGCCTGCCGTCCAACCCCTTCCCCTGTACAGTTAGATAATGCACCCCGAATGTAAACTTGAGCTTTTCCATCTCCCAATCTCTCTCTCACTCTCTCTCCGCGCCATCTCCTGGTTCCCAGCTGAGGCATGGTGCTAGCTTCAAAATCTCTCAATACTAAATTAGAAGTAGGCAATACCAATCCAATTCTAAGCTCCCAGATTTCCCGCCGACACCCACTTCAGTCGTACTGTGGAGCTCTCTGCAATGGCTCCCCAAAGAATTTGACGTAAATTCTATATGGGAATTGTATGTTTAACTTTGCCTTAAGTTGAATGGAAATGAACTAAATCAACACAGATTAGATTGCAACTTTGCCGGTTTTTGTGCCCGACGAAGGGGCGACTCCATTTGGACTCCTGTGCCCTATTCATGAGTACAGTTCCACCCGGACGCAATTTCCGTACTAGGGGGGATATGCATTACTCGGGGGAAGGAATTCTAGATGCCAATCCACCGTGGGATTCTGGGCAAGCTACTGCACGTTGCTCCCAAGTAGAGACTTTCATCATGGGTTAGCTAATTTCAGTTTTACCCCCAGGTGAGCTTGCATTAACTTGCCCAGATGGGATGTAGATGTCTGCTTTGAGCAGCCATGACGGGGCCTGCACCCAAGAAGCCACATCCTAGCCACTGTTCACACGCTTGAAGTTAGCAAAACATACTCTTTGTGCCGGTCCTTTCGGGGCCCCCACCTATTTTCCCAGTTTGGCAACAGGTGACGTGTCAGGCACCCCATGGCTCTGGGGAGGGAATGTATTACTTTCAATTGTTTGCAAGCAACATTTCCAACCAAAAGCATGTTTTTGAACTTGAAGACAGGTCCCAAATCGAAACCTTGTCTGGGCTGATTCGCCAATCGAAGGCACGGACTGGCACGGACAGGCACCCAATGCAACTCTTGGCATGCGCGCAACTTCGGTACACCAGTTGGAGGCGTTCGGCTGGAGGGTGGTTTTCTTCGCTGGTCATTCGCTCCAAAGAGGGCGCGCGCTTCGGCGGCCAGGGGCGTCTTCGGGCGTCGTCGGCCCCCCTCCGTGCGACGAGGCGCATGTTCTTGCACTCCTTGGCATCCAAGTGGCCCGAGACGTCAGAGTCGAAGCGCCTGAAGGCCTGGAGCCACTGAAAACCCCATGGTGTTCCCTGCACAGGTACAAAACGATAAAGGTATAAATATAAAAATACATATATATATATATAGAGGTATACGTCTATATGTACAGATAGGTGCATACATAAAGAAATAGCTAACTAACTAAATAAATCAATAATTAAACTGATGATTTTTGATTAAACACACATATACATATACACATATATACATATATGCATATATTTTGTGTATCAATGGGTGTTTCTCGGGACCCCTGAAATTGTTTTTCCCCTTGGCGTCCCTTGACACTGTCCCAAAGGGGGTCCACCTTCTCTTAAGCAAGATATACGTGTTTAAATATGCATATAAATCTATATGGTCATTCCCTAAAACTATATTGTCATTCCCCAGAACAATGTCGCGCAATGAGTCACGTATACTGATAATTCAAAGAGCGCCGACTGCAGTCGATGCTTTTTGGTAGCTAGCTTCAAACTGAAAACCGCTGTCGCATAACACTGCACACAAACAAGCATGCGCTTTCTACATTGCCTAGCCTCCTCCGTCCATCTTCATCAAGTACCACACATGTATCACTGTATGTAAATATATATATATATATAATGTATGTACTATATATGTATATCGCTCTTATGTTCCGTTGGAAGGTAATGTTAGGTTGCGAATAATAAATGGGGAGTCAATACCAAAAAACAAAATAACAAATCACACCCCTGAAAAGCAAAAGGGGGAGTTAATACACAAAAGTTTTTGTGAGGGGCAAAAAATCCGGAAAACATGTTCCCCAAAAAAAGTTTGACAATTAATCCCTAGTTCAGTGCAACTCCTGTCTCTCTCTCTGCCCCGCCCGCCCCCCCCCCCCCCCCGCCTGTCAGATGCAAGAAACAAGGAGATGATGGTTGAAGTCCCTGAAAAGGAAGTTTAACTGAGGTCCCCAACAGCCAAATTCTTTATGACAGCCCTTACTAAAAGTTGCACCCTGCCAAATTGTCAAGGGGGTAGTACAGGGAACACCCAGGAAGCCAATAATGAGATTTGTTTAAGGGGAGTCAATTGAGAAACGTTTTTTAGGACTGGGGAAGGAACCAATTCTAAACAGTACTAAGCCAGTCAACCAGAATACTAAACCAATACTAAACCAAATCTAAGCAGTACTACTAAGCCAGCCAGCAAGAATACTAAACCAATTCTAAACAGTACTCAGCCAGTCAGTCAGCAAGAATACTAAACCAAATCTAAACAGTACTAAGCCAGTCAACCAGAATACTAAACCAATACTAAGCCAATTCTAAGCAGTACTAAGCCAGTCAGCAAGAATACTAAACCAATACTAAACCAATTCTAAGCAGTACTAAGCCAGTCAGCAAGAATACTAAACCAATACTAACCAATATTTACTGGAATACTACTTAGGGAAGACCCGGTCTGACCCTCATTTTGTTTTAGGGGGTTTCTCTATTGACCCCCCCCATTTTGTTTGGGGGGGGGGCCCTTTATTATTCACTCCCCAACATTACCCCCTGCTTGCAAGGGTCCAGCCACGTGCCCTCGCCTCTCCGATCTGCCGTTGATCCACACGCAAACCTGGGCTCAAAGGGCCGCGGCATCGGGCCCTTGCTTTGGCCGTCGGAAGGTGCCAGAAATCCCCCCCGCACGGAACTGTGATTTCAGAGCAGCACACAACAAAGTGCTGAAGTTCATTCCAGCCTGAGCCAGGAACGATCCGGGATCTCATAAACCTTTCCCCCATGGATGTCGGACTCAAAGCGGGGCTAAATTCAAAGCAGGCCTCCACTAACATTTGCGCAGTCCAGATCTTTCCTCCAAGGCATCATGATTTCAGCACTGGACCCCCGAAGAGCGCCATCCGTTCGAAATCACTTTTCAAAGCCTGCACGGGTCGATGTCCCAAAGAAGACTCCGTGCAGCGAAGTCTCCTTCTAAACGAAGGGCAACGCCGAGGCATGCGCAACTATTTCTGACTGCCCACCTACCCAGTGCCCATTGACACCTAGCCAAACACATGAAAAGCAGACCCCAAAATGGCAAGAAGAACCTGGCCCCCCAACAAATCAATTGGAAGGAGGCGACCGACCCCTCCCAGGAAGCTAAACAACTGCCACCCACTGCTTGCGCCGCGGCGCCCGCCAGAAGACGCCGCAGAGATTCTTGGGCCTCCCCGAACTTCTTGCGAGTGAAGGCCTCTCGGCACCTGCCATTGGCCAAAAAGCTCAAACTTCTTTACCACTCTGCTTGTCTTCTCGTCTACCCATGGAATGAGACTTTGGTGAAAAACGGGTACCTGGAACCCTCTTTTTGGTTTTGAGTGACACCCAGTTTCGCTGAATCCTGTTGGAAAACAGCTTGACGCGGGACTACGCACGTGCAATACGCTTCGAGACACACACACACACACACGATACGCATTCGAGGTTTTTGTGAACAGACGACACACAACCGTTCCGCCCTCACTTTTGCCGAGGGTCACGCGGGATCCGCCTAACTATGGTAGACTAAGCAAAACAAACAGCTTGGATCTGAAGTTCCAAGACCCTGCACTCATCAGTCAGCCTCCAACATCTCACAGACTTTATGAACACATCTAGACCTGAAAGCACCCCTTGCAACCCCCCAGACCTGCGCTTGGGCGTTTTCGAGCTCGCGCCTGGTCACCCAGTACTGCAAGGGATGTACCGAAGAGGTGGCCCCAGGCTCCAAGTAGGGGTGGACTTTCAGGAGTTCATCCAGCTGCATCATGAAGCTGGCCTGACACCAGGTGTCCTGCCATCGCATCCGCGCGGTGAGCTTGACACCCTGAGAAGCCCAGTCTGAGTGGTTTCCTGGGGATCCACCTACGTGTGGTTGCTGATTGAATCAGATAAGCCACAGGCCACAGGGGGCAAACACTTCAAATTCATCTTGCGCTTTGCTTGCGAGGAAACCAACCAGAAATCAGAAGACAGGATAGCCTTCCGTGAGCTGGGAAGGAAGGGGGCTGAAGCAAACCTCTACTGAAAGCAAAATGACTGGTCCTGCCAGTGAAATGTGATTAGGGCGACTTGTCCTGCACATTCTGCGACCTACTTGGTAGCCGGATTAAGGGCCAAACAGGGGGTTTGTCATCATGCCGTGTCAGGCATCATGCATGCAAAGCACCGATTGATTGACGCTATGGCCATTTGTTTGCGAGACTTTGTCCCAGGTTTGTGGGATTCTTGTTCCGATCTATGATTGGGTTGGTTTAGGGTGGGTTAAGGTGTACGAGGTGTAGGGGTTAGGTGGGTTTTGGGCTGTCTTGGGGTTGCGGGTGAATTCCAGCGGGCGACAACCAGCGTTCGTGCTTGATCCCGGGCTTGCGCTTGTCGCGATGGCAACTTGTTGGCAAATGTCGGCCACTCATTTCCTGACCTCGTGCCTGCCCCAGTAGACTGGGTTCAGGGCCCCAGGGCCCACAGTTCCCATCGCTGAGCCCCGCCACTACAACTCAACCGACGAGAGAGAACTCACAACGAGCCATATGTTTTGGCATGAGTGCAAAACAAGGCAACAGGCTATCAGTGGATATCAGTGGACGTTAAAACCTGGGCAAGCAAACCTGTCGGCACAAAGCTGGGCAAGCTCGCGGGTTCGGCGCGTCCGCTCCTCCAGGGTGAGATGGCCCTTGTACAGCCCCTCCAGCAACGCGCCGGTGCCGTGCACATCCTCACAGGTGCTTCGCCAGAGGACATGTGGAGTAGCCCTAGTGTTGCCAGTCAACCTGTTGCGCGTGATCAATCTGCATGAACAAACGGTCCCCTTCACAGGGGTAGGACCGGGATGAAAATCCGACCACCTCCCCAAAGGCCAAGGAATCGTTTCCCCAAGGGCTGATGATGGGTCCAAATTCACCATCCCAAGTCTGTGTCTCCTTGTTGATGCCTTTTGAAAGCAGCCGCGCAAGGGTCCCTTGACTTGACACATAGCAATCTGATCAGGCTGCATGGCAAACATCGCTTGCTCAGCAGGATGTGTACATTTCTTCCCCCGTCCAACTAGAAGAACCCAAACAAAGTGCCGCTTTCCCCGTCACTCGTCACAATTGCACCCTCAAACCAACCAACACACACAAACACACCCCCACACACACACACCCACACCCACACACACCTCTCAAGCGTCCCAAAAAAGGCGCCATCAGGACCCGAAACGCCGGGCCTTCCGGAGTGGTGCCGGTGCCTCGACCTCCGGAAAGAGCCAAGTGAGGAAGGTCTCGAGGTGAACTTTGTCGCCCTCGCGGAACGGCACGTTCCGCGGGCTCGATAAAGGCAGGCGTGGCAAGTCCAATGAGGCACCCACCGTGGGCTCGTTACCCAACTTCATACCTATGTTGGGCTCATTACCCATGAAAGATTCTCGAATCTTACCAACGCAGGAACGGTAATGTTTATAATCTACAATGTATATGCGATTTGTCCCGGAGTTCCTATTTGACACTCTGGTACGCATGGCCAAGCACGCATTGAGGCTTGACGTGTTCGCGTTTGGCACCTGAGCGGTTTTCTCGCTGGCGTGTTGAGCACCTCGCGACGCGCCACGCGCCACGCGCCTGGGCGGCATTGGAGGCATCCACCAAGACCTGGAAGTGCGTGTCCTTGGCCCATCCGTAAGCGGCTTCTCGGTTCAAAATGGTTTGGGTTGGCCAATCCTAATCCACACCGGGAAGCCACTACAAAGGGGACCAAATCCTTGCGTAAGGATCAAGGAATACCTTTGAACTCAGTTAGTGATGGCCCTCCCTGAGCCTAAGGCCCCTTCGGCCGACGCTAACTCCAGAAAAGGTCCAGCCGGCTGGCACCGTTGCGCAACTTTTCCTGGGAGGTCAAGGGACGCCTCGCACTTAAGCAGCTATGGTCGCTAGCAGTGCCCACCAGGTACCCAAACTTGACCCTTTCTGAAGCTGATCATCTGTCCGAACTGCTGTAAATCCATAGTTGCCTGGTTGCTTTTGTGATCCGAACTGTGACATTGAAGCCGGCAACCTCCGCGACAGCCCCAACCTCAAATGATCCCTGTGCTAGCCGCGGAGCGGGTATATCCAGTGCGCTCAGCATCTCTCTCAGGTGATACGCCTGTCGGGCAACAACCCACCACAGCAGCACTCCACAAATCCTCTGGTGCCTGGTGCTTGCTGATGCCATCTCGGTATGCAACTCATGCTCCATTGCGGGCCCCCGAGTCGTCTACACCCGCACGCGGACATCAGCCTGGTCATGTTTCTGGGGCCTTCCCGGGTGGGTTTGGAGGCAGAACCCTTGAAGCAAGCAGAGGTCGCTGCCTTTCACGGTGCTCGGAAGTGAAAAAGAACAGGGTGAAGGAAACATATTGGACACATAGCAGCAAAGTCCACCAAGCAGCGGCCCAGTCTGCATCAAAACGCCTGGACTGTTTGTTTGGCGCCTGAACCAGGCCCTCGTCATCCAACATCTTGGCGGCCTGAACGCTGCCTCGAGTGGGGGGCGAGGCCGGGGAGCGCTTCGATGGTAAATGTTTCACCCAAAACCCGTGCCACCAAAACAACCTAACCGCATCAAAAACCCGATTGCTTCCTTTTGTGTTAATGGGCCCTTGACCTCCCGGATTTACATACCGAGTGTACATGGTGATGCGCCCTGTGAAGCTGTCTTGGATAGACTGCCATCAGGCTAACATGGCCGGAGGGCAACTGGCGGCTCCATATGCCTTATAATACCTCAAGAGAAACTGCGCTGACAATACCGCCAGGGACAATTCGAGCTTCCACTTCTGCACATTCCAAAGGTGGCAAAATACATCCCGCTTTCCTCAAAGAAGCGCCGACCGCTCGACAAGGATCCATGTAGAAGCTGATTCAGAACCCACCGGAAGTAACTTATCGAACTGGTCCAAGGCGTGACTCGGCCAAAAATGCCCCGCTTGCAGTTCCCTTGCAATCCCAAGAGCTTGAGAAAGGGCACAAGGAGTCGAAATTCGCGACCCACTGTGCCGAACATACCCGTACCTACAGTCTCCATGACCCTTTACAAATGGGGTCATGACCGAAAAGAAAGGGGTCGTGACCCCATGTTTAAAGGCTCATGCAGACTCCAGGTACCACCTCCAGCTGCGATTCATGAGGAAAGACCACCCCCATGTCACACCCACCGCCCTCTCCCCCACCCCAGCTACAAAAACTTCGCCCCAAAGCCTCGAAGCTGGTTTTGGAGGGAGAACCGCCACAAACCACACCGGAAAACACCCAACAGGCAACACAGTGGAATGAAGCAACATGGCTCCACAAATATTGCGCAGCACCTCTTGCATTCAAACGCCGATGGTTTAGGCACCTTGGAAACCCCAGCTACAGTTCGCGCCATGCCCCCGGCAAGGTTTGACCAAGCCATGGGACGCGCGATGTTGCTCCTCGCGCCATTCGCAGGTTTCGCCGGCGGCGGCGGCGCAGGAGCCGGCGGCGCAGGCGATGCAGTAGATGCGGCAGGCGCAAACGGCGCCTGACGAAATACGGCGCTTCAGGACAGGCCACGTTGAGCCCATATGGCCATGGGGCATAACGTATGGCTCCAGTTTGGGGTGGATGAACATCCACTTGCCAGCTATTTTGATGTTCACCAGGTACAGGGTTTTGACCTACAGCCATATAGATCCACCTTAATCATAGGGGATGTCCCTGGGATTCGCGGGGAATCATCACTGTTGGTGGGGAACACCCCCAAAAAATAAAAATAAAAAATGGCCGGGGCATGCCGGGGTTGATTAACATGGGGTCAGCATTATGATAGTTGACTGTATGCCCTGCCTCTCTGATCAAACCATGTTGCAAGTTTTCCCTGAACATGCCGCACAATCGTGCACAATCGTTGGGTCCCTAACCACCTAACCGCAACAGTCCCATTGCCCACGAATTTATGAGAACCTTCGAAGGCGACTTCAACCATGCCACAACATGCCACTCTGCCAGCAACAATGCCATGGTCTGGGTGCTTCATGACGGCCAAAGAAATGGCTGTGGGTCAAAAACAGGTGCCCACAATGGAGCCCTGGTAAATGGACACATGGACTAAAACCTGTGGTTTTTCTGCCTTGATTTTGACCCACACCCAAATAAACAAAAGGCACAAGGGCACAAAGGAACTTGAGGCCCGTTCGAGAGCCCATGGAGATTCCGTCCTTCTGAGCCGGATCCGTGCTCGCTACTCTAGCGAGACTCCTTGGCAAGCGGATTGGTCCGACGATTGCACTTCCCCTAGAAGCAACTGCCACACCACCAGCATGAACGTAGATAGACCAGGAAGGCAGGGACAATCTGACCATCCCTTGCACCTGTTGCCCGTGTAAAATGCAATGTATTTGTACCACACACCATGTTTTTTAGTCGACCCGAAGAAATTGGAAAGAATCTTGCTGGAAAAAAAGGCCAGTGTGCTTGAATGACTTGATTGCAGCTGTCTGGGCAGCGGTTACTGAGCTGGCTAAGCGGTCGAACTGCCGAAACACCTGCTTCAAGGTTGCTTTACTTGGGCGGGGTGTCAAGACGGCCTTCATTTGCGAGGACCTCTCATCGCTGCCTCAATTCGTCAATAAGAATGCGCGACCATCTATGGTTACCCCGCAGAGGCATAGGAATGCACTGGAAAAGAAATACCTGAATAGCCAAAACACATTTGCCCAAACGCGGACATTCTCAAGTCCAACATGGTCAAGAGATATAGCCAACCAGAGTCAGGACGTTTTGGCTGTCTCTGTTCCAGACGATGGTTTTATTGAGGCACAACTCACGAAGAACAACAAGAGCATTCGTTTCAAATGATGCCACGAAGCCCTCGCGAGGAGACCTGGCATTGCAAAGGCAATGCCAAGTATGAAGAACGTGGAGTTGCCAGTCCAGGAGCAACATGCCTTCACAGCGTCACTTTGTGTGTTGAACTTCCACTTGCTTAAGCCCACGGGCAAAAATACGCATATTTCCAGCAGTGATTCCCTTTAAAACCAACAGGGGAAAATAAAACACATTCATTTCAGCAAGTGGAGGTCAAGCTTGGCCCATTTGACCGCACGTGGAGATCCTGCGGACCGAATTGAAGCTCACAACTCCATGGACTTACGCCCGGGTCTCCAGCCAAGCTTCCATATCTGATCCCAGGTGTTCACTTGCGGCTGTGCCATTGCAAGCGTTCTGCACACTCGCGTTGGCCGTTGGCCCGGCCCACAGTGAAAGACAGGGCAAAGTCCGTTAAACGCAAATTTGGGACATTCCTTGAGTGTCAGCTGACCCCGAGTTTGTCCATTCTGGGCGATCGCTCTATGTCAGCACAAGCATGCAAGAAGGTCCTACAAGCATGGCACTGGAAAAAGGCGCCAAGAAAAGATGGACGCCATAAGCTAAGTGCATGTTCTGCCAGTGCGCCCTGCTGTGTTTGGTCATCGGCACATGCGCCCCTTCTACCTGGTGCCTGCGACCCAAAATGTTTACATGGGCTGTGTTCCAAGTAACGAAGCAGAACTATCTGCGTGGCAGCGGTCGATGAAATGATGGGCAGAATGCTGTTTGGCCCATGCATCAAGTGCCAGGCAAGCAGCACTGCGCAATGCAGCCACGCCGGAAAGGAACGTCCCGCTGCCAAGGTGGTGGAAGGGTGTCCCACCCGAGATGTGGAATGAAGCACAGGCTAAGAAGGAAATTGTGACTCTTTCAGACACCCCTCCCTGATTCTGTCTTCACAGACCCTCCTGCAGGTCACCTCTCTTCATGCGTGTTGGGGAAGGGCAGAATTTACTCCGACCTCAACATGACTAACTCGAAGGTGAGGCCAGCTTCGCTGCGGGGGAGATAAGAAGAACAAACACACCACCCGAGCCAGTTTTGGTTTTGGGCTGCGCACACACAGCCACCAAAGCACCGACGCCAACTCCGACGCCAACACAAACACAAACATCGACACGAAAACCGACACCGACTCTGCACACAGGCGCAAACAGAGAGAGCGAGAGAGAGAGAAGCAGAGACAAACCAGTGACACACACACACGCACACACACACACACAAAGACAGAGTCAAGCACAAGGACGGCGACAAACGCACAGTTGACACAGACACAACTGACCCGAGATCAGGGATGGTCAGGGCCATGCCTAAATGCAACACGCTCCCCTTGCTCGAAATACACGTCGTGACTGTTCCCCGCTTTGATCTACGTTCGCTCACCCTATGGAGCGGGGTTGTTGCTTGAGAGAAGATTGCAGTTTGGGCATTTGCACATGGCATATACCAAGCATCATCCCCCATACGCTTCATGAAAGAAATGTGTGCTGCACATTTGGGTCCTGATTGGAGTGCTTGGGACCGCTTCAAATTCGCAGGGCCCAATCGCGGGTATGATTCGCGCTCGGCACTTGGCCGCGCGCCAGGCGTTCCTGCTGCAGATCCTGCGGGGTTGAAGAGATTTTGGCTGAGTGTTGCGATAGTGTAATTT